TTAGCCCCCTGGGTACCACATTCCCTCAGAGGCCAGGGCCCCAGGACCCTGTCGGGCATTTTTCTCTAGGTAGTTCCTGACTCGAGTAGAGCAAGACCAGAGAGGAAACCACCTCTCTAAAATATCAGGGCTCCCAGGGGCTTCGCTCTCTGGTCCCCACTCTGGTGCAGGCTTGACCCAAGGCTCTTTTCCTCTGTGACGCACTGTGGCCTCCAAATTATGTGGAAGCATGGACCCTACCCCGAGGTCCCCTCCTTTCAGGCACTGGCTGGGGAGCTTTCCTGGGGAGTTTTCAGCCTTGGGCCCTATCAACGGCTGGACTTTCTGCTGGTCTTTCCTTGGAAGAACAAAGAACTGTCATCCTCGACTTAGCAACATCAACCTCCTTGCATGAAAAGTGCCTGCTAACAGCTACTTGGGTTGCATTTCTTAAAATGGCCCGTGAGAAAGTGTGCAGAAGCAGTTGTCCAGAATCCCTGTCTTCGTTACCGTTGCCGGCCGAGGTGTCTCCCTAAAGCAGTGCCAGTAGAATCCTGCTCGCGCTCTTCTCCAGCCAGAATGTCCTGCGCTGGCCCCAGACATCGCCCCACGCGGTAATGCTGGGCGTGAAACTGTTCACTTCCAAGGCGCTCTCCAGGGCCTTGTTCTTGGGGGGTTGATGTTAGAAATGAAGGAATTCATCGTGCATCGGTAGGAGTTTAATGTCTTTTGTGAACCAGGAACTGAGAAGTGTAACTAATGAGCACACTGTATAAGCCACCGACCACTTCATTAAATGTTGGAGCCGTTTCCCAGGTTGGCCGGAAATGAAAATCCCCCCCAAAAGGCTATGCCATCAGTTAATGACTCACTTAAAAAACGACAACAACAAAAAAGGTGTGATAAATATTCAGGAGACATTCTGATAGACAAAGAGCATTTACCGCACACCTCCAAAAACGAGCCCCTGATTTCCGATGAGATGTTGGTGGGGGTGAGAAAGGATGGGAGAGGTGGAGAGAAAGTCACTTCTCTCCATGATACAGTCTTCGTCATCGGAGAGCGGCTAGTTTGGGATTTGGGGGTTCAGAGGATTCCGTATTGTTTCTCCCACTTCTCCACGGAGGCTTCTGCCTTTCTGGCCTTTGATGACACTTCCGAAGGCCACCCCAGGGCTGCTATGTGGTTAAAGAGGTTACAATCTATGAGGTTTTCCCCAGAAAGCTTGTGCTTTCTCATCATCTCATCATTAGGTGATAACAAAACGGAGAAGCCTTGAAACGCTCTCTGAACTCCAGCGGGGTCTCCACGGGGGGTATAAGGGGAGGTACTTCAGGCTCACAGGGCTTCCCTGCACAGAGTGGGTGCTGATGCCCCTGCCCCAAAGTCTGTGGACCCCTTTGTTATCCAGTCGCCGCTGGTTCCACCCCCAGGTGCTGAGCAGGGTGTCAGCATCAGAGACTCTGGGGACACTGGTCTACTGGGCAAAGTCACTTTTCCTTTCTGAGCCCCCACTGCCCGGTGGACAGAAAGGAGGAAAGGAAGACCTATGTTTTCACACTCTGGTCTTCTCATCCTCTGCCCGATGACCCAGGGACGGCCTCTGGGGCTGACCGTGCGTGTATGTTGACTTGTTCCTTCTTGGGCAGATGGCTCACACCGTGGACTTCCTGGAGGATGGGACTGGGGAACCTAGATTGGTTGGCACCAGGTGCCCTGTCTGGCCCAACCTCGTGGGGAATGGTCTGAGCATTGTGGCACAGCCTGGAGAGCCAGGACCAAGTCCAAGAGCATTTCAGTGAGCCCTAGGGGTGTCTCCTCCATGGCCCCTTTCTGGTAATGAATGGCACTGGTGGCAAATACTCTCTGTAGAGTGGCCTAATTTTCTGTGCTCCCAGGCTGGCCTTTGCCTCAGTCTGCCTCCCGTACCTCCTCCACCCTCTTTTTAAACCCCAGTGAAAAGGCACTAGGTCGCCCAGGTGTTCAGACCGAACGCCCATGGCTTTGACCGAGCCCCTGTGAAACTGAGCATTCGGACACCCTTCCGAGACTATTTGTTGCAGATCGATAGAGAGATTTTCAGCTACTACTGTGCTTAGCTGGTTTCAGACTTTTATCACATGAGACGAAAGACAAGCACACTACTTACCGCATATGGTGTTTTTATTTACATGCCTCTTCCCTCTGGATTGGAAAGTCCTCGCAAGCGAAGGCCTGCCTGATTCATCTTTCTGTCCCATTTCTGGTGCATGTACTTGTTCAGTTTGTTGGCTCAATAAAGTATAAAGTGATAGATATTTAAATGAGACTTGATTCATAAAAATCCAACATGCATCCAGTTAAGTTCTTGAATACATGTATTTGGAGGAATGTAATGACTGTATCAAGTACGACGCATGTATCAACAACTATGAATCGCAAGACAAAGAAATTAATCTCTCAGCCCCCCCAGTCCCCACTTTCTTTGGCTTTAATTGGAATAGTGTCCCAGATTATGACAACAAATGAACTGCACCTTGAGTTTTTTATTTTAATATTTAAAATATATTAGGAGACACATAAAATGTTGATATTTAATAGCAATGAAAGACATGCAAAAAAAACCTTTCAGTTTCTATTTTCCACCAACAAAAGTAAGGAAAATTATAAATAGCAGTAACTGCAAAACTGAAGGTGCAGCAATAAAACTTAGGGCCTTGCGACACAATCCTTTGAACAGCGAAGCAAAATTCATAACGTCTTTTATATGATTTGACCTACCTATCCTATCCTTACAAAGAAATCATTCAAAAGATGCAAAAAGTTATATAAATGAAGATTTAGCATCGACTTCTCTAGCAAAAACCCAGAAATGTGTAAATGTGCCAAGGAAGGGAAATGGTCTAATAAATTACAGTACAACACGTTGAAATATTACTCAGTCTTAAAATTACAAAGACTGTAGGTATTTGAAAAAAGAATACAAAATTGCTGTGTTTGCTGGGATTACAAATGTTAAAAATACGCATGTGTGCCTACTGGCGAACGAGTGGTGTGCAGCCCTGACCGGTGTGGCTCAGTGGGTTGGGCGTTGTCCTGTAAAGGGAAAGGTCACGGGTTCGATTCCCCATCAGGGCACGTGCTTGGGGTGCAGGCCAGGTCTCCGGTTGGGCCATCTGCCAGGGGCAACCGATCAATGTTTCTCTTGCACGTGAATGTTTCTCTCCCTCTCTTTCTTCCTCCCTTTCCCTCTCACTAAGAATAAATAAAATCTTTAATAAAAAAGGAATGTGCAAAATAAACTTAATCTTTAAGAATGAAATAACAAATGCCAAAATATTAACAACGGTTATCTCTGACTGAAAGGATTACGGGCGATTTTTATTTTCCTCTTCAATCTTCTCTCTCCAGTTTCCAAGTTTCCCATTAACAAACAAAGAGACTGTGTTTTGTTTACAGGATGGAGTGAAATGGATTCTGTAAGAACGAGCCCCCTCTGCCTGGAGAAATAATCCCCGATGATGATGCACATTATGGATTAGCATCCATTTTGATACTCTTTTATTATAAAATTAGGTGCTACTTTTAAAGTAAATGAATTATGTACCCAGAAGCTGACCGCTTCTCATGACACCTGTGGCTGCCACTCTGGTCTTCATCTCCTCCTTGGATTCTGGAAGTCACAGCTTCTACTTGGTCTTCTATCCCAAACCCTTGCCCATTCTCAGCAGAGCAGCCAGAGTGCTGCTTTGAACATGGCCTTCGGGTAAGACTCCGCTGCGCCGCACCTTGCAGCGGCTCCCCATTGGTGCTCAAAGGCCCCGCCCCTACCCCTCACCTCCACGCCTCCCTAGCTCCAGACACTCTGGTCACCTGCCTTCTAACAGGCTAGATGTGCTCCCTCCTTGGGACCTTCGTGTCCCTTCTGCCAGAAACCTGTCCCCTGGCCCATATCCACACAGCTGCCTCTCATCTGCTTCGAGTTCTCTACTCAGATGTCACTTAGTCAGTCAGGTCTGCCTTGACCACCCGTGTTAGAGCTCATCCTCGCCCTGGCTGGGCTGGCTCAGTGGGGCGGATCAGCCCACACACCAAAAAGTTACAGGTTCCATGCCCAGTCGGTGAGGATTAAAAAAGATTCTAAAATCTGCAAAAAAGAGAGCTCACCCTCTATCGCCACCTGCCCCAGGCTCCCCGGACCCCCTGACCCTGCTCTGCCTTTGTTTCCCATTTCATGTAACCTTCTCTATCACACTGTTATCGCTTGTTACCTACACTGTTTCCCCGCATCAGAAGGTAACCTCCATTAAGGCAGGGACTTGGGGCCAGCTCTGTTCACTGACAGACCTCACATGTACCTGAAATACAGGTGCTTAATATGTATGTGTCGAATGCATTTGTTACAGATGTTTTGGACAAGATGAGGGGCTGCTGGGAACTCCACAAAGAAGGACAAGAGCAAGCTGAGGCCCAGGCCTGGGTCTGGGAAACTAGCAAACCCCCTACAGAGTCTGGAGCCATTTAAGTCTGGTCTGAACTGACACTGTAGTATCCCAGGGCTGAGTGCAGGGCTGGCAGGGCGACAGCAGGCGATTTCTAGACTGTGTTTCCCAGTTCGGAGGGTGAGAGGTGCTGCCACATTCCCATGGTCTGTCCACAGGTGGCTGGCCGCTGTCGTTGACTGGGCTGGACCCAGGTTGCCTGTCGGTGGTGCTCCAACAAGAGTAAACCCCTGGTCCCTACCTCTCTATCAGAGGATGGACGTCAGAGGTAGTTCTCAGCTGGTGACAAAAAGGACCAACTGCCCAGATATCCTCACCGTACAGAATAGTTGGGCATCAAAAGCATGAAACTAGGAGCTTTGTTAGCGAGGCCAAAGGACAATGGTTTTGTTTGTCCTCCCACGAAAAAAAAAAAACGGTCCGGAATCAAGCTGCTGGGTTTGCATGACTGGGAAGAAGGGCGGCAGGGGAGGCAGGGGAGGCAGGGGAGAAGGGGAGGTAGAAACAATGTATTATTTCACTGGAACAAGGATTTCTTTCCAAGCGGCCTCAGTGCTCATACCCCTAGAGCTGCCTGGTAATTGATTTTAACAGGCACATTAAGTGAAATGGCGACCCTGACCCTTCGTAGCTGCGTCTCTTCTTAATTAAAGCAATTAATGGCTTTGGGATCCTCTGCACCCCTCGTCCGAGCTCACTCACGCATCTCTTTTCCGTGAAGGGAAACTGCTGGGAAGTGTCTCTCCTATCACCACGTGTGTATCTCGCTGCTGCCACGTTTGTTTGTATGTTTATTTCTGCAGAGATGGTCCCCACTGGTGACCTGGTCAGCTACGTCCACTGGAGTAAACCCCACCTGGTCCAACTATCTTGTTCTTTTTCCCCGTAAAAAGTAGATTGTATGTTCAGAAGCTGACCACCTCTCCTGACACCTGTGGCTGCCAGCCCAGCCCATACCATTGTCCCCTCCCCTGGTGACTGTCCACGTGCAGGAGCTGGCCTCCCATGTCCCACTGCGACCCCCACAGTCCACTCTCAGCACAGCGACAGGACCCTCAGACCGAGGCTTGCTTAATTGAACCCACTGCCAGTTGTCACATCGGTGATGGGAGTTAAGTGGATCCAAAAATACCTGCAGAGCTCTGTTCCTGCACATCAGCTGTTCGGAGGCGCTGCTGCTTCCTCGGCTGCTTGAAGGTGGAGGGGCACAGAGGGACGCCAGCAAGGGCTGGGAGAGACTGCCCTAGTCAGGAAAGGAAAATGTCACATCACCCCATTTTATTTTTGTAACGCGAGCGGCTGTCTTGTGCGCTGTGAGTCACCAGAAGCCTGCTGCACTTGGATGGCTGACTCCTCCGCGGTGGCCTCTGACCTCCTCTGCTCCTACGGCGGCATTCGGCTGGTTCTGGTTTGGGGGCAAGGGGAAACAGTTTGCAAACTTTTCATTGTGTTGTGGGGTGTTGCCTTAGCAGACGAAGAGAACCGATGTTTCTGCTTAACTCTCCGAGTGATTTCCAAACTAATGCCGAAGTAACATAATCCAGTGTTCTCTGAAGTTCTGTTCAAAGGCAGCAAAGTATATCCTCTTACCATAGAAAAGGGTCTAAACTATAACCCAGGCCGCAGGAAACTGTGCATCCATTTATCCCAACTTATTAGGAAGATCTCAATACAACATCCGGGAAAGAGGAACTTTTTTGCCTCCTAGACAGGGCTTTGACATCGAAACCCATTTAAAATGGCAGAAGAGAGCCGAGTTCAGTGTGGGGAATGCCTGCTTTTGTCACGCATGACAGCGATCTGTCACTGGGCCGCTTCGCCTGCTTTCTGTTTGTGCAGGACTGCCCGCGGTGACTGCTGGTCAATCTGACTGGGGCGACTGCCGGCCCACGGTCATGTTCACAGGCCATCTCTTCAGCAGAGCCGTCTCGGCTTGATGGCTGTTGGCTGTGTCCCCCGGTCCTTTCAGGGCAAGGACTGTGGTGTTAAAACCACCTGCCATCTGTTGGTGACACTGTTTTGGATTCTAAATGATGAGTCACTGATTTCCCCTGCTGTTCCTTCTGCTGCCAGGACTAATTTCCCTACTGGACTCTATCGGGGGGCATCCTGGAAGACCTTACCGTACCCCTAGTGGTAGAATCGGCGGCAGAGTTGCCATTTCCACGAGGTAGGAAGTTAACACAGCGTGATTGAGCCTGATCCTCACTCCACCGCCCTTCATGGATGAAGCTGCAGCAGCCATCTTCAGTCAGGTCTGAGCCGAGAGTCCAGAAGAGGTGGTTTCATGTTTTCTCGCCAGTGCTGTCTTACTAGGGTGACAGTGCCCATCACCAAACATGGCGCAGGGCAGGCCCTCCATGACTGCCGGTTAAATGAATGACTGAGGTCTGTGATCACAAAGTGGATAAAGCTGACCCACCCGGGGCCACCAAGACAAGCGCACTGGGCCCAGCTTCGCCCAGGAGGCCAGAGCGCAGAGCTATCCCTTGGGAACTCTGCATTTCCGATGTAGCCTGCCCTTGCCAACCTCAAGGGGAGAGTCCATGGAATGATTTTTAGGAGAAATTCAGGAGCCTCTTTCCACAGAGACAAGCCTCACGCTCTGACAGAAGCTGACGAGAGCTACTGGAAGGGGCATCTGGAGAACCAGGGGAAGAGGTCGTGGAGTTGCCGGCAGAGCCGAGCGCTGGCCCAGGAGAAAACCGAAGCTCGGGTTACCAAACCTCTCCGTCCACGAGAGCGTGGCAGCCAGAGTCTTGGGCTCAATTAGAAGATGCGCTTCTCCGTCGACTCAGTTTCACACAGATCTGTTCTATGGCTAGAATCATCACCTCTTGTCCAAAAAGCAAAAAAATGTGTTAAGCTGGTTCAAATCTAGTTTTATTCTTAGAGCCTAAAAACACGTCTAGGCTTCCTGCCTTCCCTCATTTTCATCACCCCCCAAATTCGAAGCTACACAGCAACAACTCTCCCCTAAGCGCGGACGGTTCTAACTCTAACTCGGTCGAGCACCCCCCATCCCACTGAAGCGTTCTGAAGATTTCCTGCCTGGAGAAATTAACGAGTCCCAGGTGGGTGGCATTTTATTCTTACCACCGTGTAGGTGTGATTTGGTGGGAGGCTCTTCCCCCAGCCTGCTAGATCAAAGGCAGAGTTATGTGCTTGAGTCCTGGGTGGGAGGTGCGGCTCCTGTACTGCGAGTACCAGGCTCCAGACACTGTCCCTTCTGTCGTGGTCCAGTCGTCGAGAGACCGGGCCAACTGCATGCGCTGCCTGGGCCGACCTTTGCAGCCACAGGAGCTGTTGACCAAACCCTGACGGTCTTCGGAAGTGCTGCCACCTGTTCCAGGTTGAGCTGCGTGGCGTGGGAAGCTGACAGGACAAGGCAAGCCTCCGTCAGTGGAAATGATGGTGGCACTAATCTCCACGGCTAAGTATCGATTTTCTGGAAGTGATGGTTCCAACCACATCCCTTCTCTGTGGCCAAGATGCACTTGCGGCGGAGGCAGCAGCAATGATAGGCTCCTAGAGCTCCTGCCTTCCCTGAACGCACATCTGTTCTTAGGGCTTTGCCATGGCTGAGCGGGGAGGCGGGGGGCCAAGTTTCCCTGCTCTGAGTAGTGATTTGGCTCAAAAGGGGATCCAGATGAGACGTGGGAGTCTTGCTAAACTAGCAATACAAGAGAACTTTGGCAAATTGTTCATGTCGCCAGAGTCAGAAAAATAAGGCTGTGGTCTTCCATATAGCTACAGGCTAAGGCGGTCACAAGGGCTTCACGCCAGTCAGCCAGACGCTTGGTCACATGCTTGCTCAGCCCAGGCACAGCATGTGACACCACACCCAGGTGCCCTCCCCCAGCGGGGATTTCTAAATCAGAGAAAAGGGGCGCCCCTGGAGCCTCTGTGTTTAAAGCTGAGGACACACTGAAACTGGGGGATGAAACAATGTATCCACACCCAGATAAGCCAGCAGAGCCTGCAGCACAAACCTGTACAGACTTGGAGGTTTACACGATTCCAAAACAAAAGATTCCATTGCTCACCCAGGTGAAGGAAATCAGATTATACTGGCTTTTCTGAATTTTTGGAAGACTTTTACACTAGGAGATTGGCTACCAAAAGTTGCAAACCTGGTCGGGCTCTATTTCAAAGTAGCTACTGGCTAAGCTATGGCTGTGGAAGCATGTGCTTTCCAGCCTTCAGGCTGTTTTAAACATGCTGATGTACTGGGAGATTTGTACTAGCAAAAGACCTGCTCTTTCCTCTGTGGCCATTTGCGTAAACAGAAAACCTCAGGAAACTCTAGCCACAGGAGCCCAGCAAGCGGGCTGCTTCCCAAACAGGGTCACCACCTGTTTTTTAAAGATACTTGCAAGAAATACAAATGCCAGCTTGACATTTTTTGAACCCTGGTTATTTACCAGACTAGAATCCTCTCTGGGGAGTGTTTAATCCTGTGTCAAATACAGAAAGGCAAACCACTGGCTGAGAGAGAGGGGGGGAGAGAGAGAACGAGATAGAGAGAAAAGGAGATAGACAGACAGACAGACAGACAGACAGATATCACTGTAAAGGCAAGCAGGTGCTTCAAGAAGGTCCCAAACTCTAGGAAGACAGAGGTATGGTCACAGCTGTTCAGGGAGCAACCCTGGTAACTGACCAGTTCACTCCAGGAGTGGAGAGAATTTAACAACCAGAAGAGAATCTTCTTAGTGCACTCAGTGCAGGTGCACATTTCATGGCTTCAAAGGAGACGCTGTGAAGACCAGAATCCCAAGAATCAGAGCTGCACCGGGCTCCCAGGGCACTCGGAACCCTCTGCCCCGGAGGCCATGGCACCCGAGCTCGCTCCCTGCTCAGAGACCCAGGACCCCAGCCGTCGGGGCTGTGGACTCAGATGCACTCTTCCCTGTCTTCCTGGGAGATGCCCAGCACCGACTTGTGGGGGATCCTGCACTCTTGCAGAGACTTGGTGAGGTCAGAGAAACGTCTCCTGGGCACCTCCATCGTTTCGATGCAGCAGTGGTGGTAGGTGGCCTTGTTCTTGAGCTCAGCCACGGCCACGAGGGTCTGTAAGTCGTCAGTTGGCCGGAAGTGGCGAACGAACCTCCTGCCCGACGGTGACCTCACAGCAAGCAGCAGCCTTGGCTCTTGATCTGATGGCTCCTCCAGGACTCCCACCCCGGAGGCGCTCTGCCTCCTGGTTTGGGCGAAGAGTTTCTTCTCTGGGGAACGCACTGGAGCTCCGGAACCTTCTTGGCGTGTCTTCATGGTGCGGGCCTCCTCTTGGTGCAGAGCCTGGATGCTGCTCAGCTGCAGGGAGCCAGCCTTTTTAGCGACTGTTTCCACAGCCCCCTCCTCCGGGCTCTTCCTGTTGATGGAAGGAAGGACCGGGTACTTATTGAGGGATGAGGAAGCCCCTATGGGTACCTGCTGCAGCAGCTCGGGGACCTCGTGGGGAGCTCCCTGATTTGGCGATCTGGGCGCACAGGCTCCTGGTTTCTGGCTGCCTGGCGACTCGCAGGGAATGGCTGGGGGCGGAGAAGATGGCCTGCGGTGCGAGCACAGCCCCACGCCCTGGGGCTGCTGCAGACTCGGCCGCGTACGCCCCTTGGCGGACTTGGGCCGTATGACATGCATGTTCAGTGAGTTTGGCTGCCAAACGAAGCCGTCGGCTGCTGTGCTGACGACAACAGGGTTGCACTCAGTGGCGGTGACGTTCACGGTGGCTTCTGTGGCCATCGCTTCTCAAGACCCCTAAGGAGGCAGGAAAAAAGAAAGGAGGCCATGGATTCACCTTCCTGGGACTTCTGGATCCCAGCCAGGTCTCAGAATGAGCCAACCGGCCACAATAGAGAGGGGCACCAGCTGCAATTCATTCATTCATTCATGCATGCATTCATTCATTCCAGGTATTGGAATATATCAGTGAACCAAAATCCTTGCAACTTAAATTATCATAGCGAGGAAAGACAAGTGTTAAAGCTCCATGTAAATAACAATAACTGCAATGAGGAAAATAAAGTGTTGCATTAGAGAGTCTCTAGGGTGGGACTATCTCTTATTCAGTTGGGGAGGGGGAAGCTTTAAGCCGAGACTAGAATGATGACAAGGAACATGTTACAACCTAGACCAGGGCCCGGTAATCTTTTCTGTCTGTGTTTTTGGCTTTGGGAGCCACACGACCTCGCTTCCAGCTACTTGACCCCATCACTGCAGAAGCCAGCCACACAGTTATATAAAGTGGTGCTGCTAGGGCTGCTTTGGCCCCAAAGAGCCAAAGTAGTGCTATTAAGTCACCAAGCAGGAAAGCCAGGCTCAGCTTCACTCCAGAGCTGAGGGCCAGACCAACCGACTTCTCTTGGTGAGAGATCTCTCTGGTGAGAGATCGTGGGTCCGAACGGACGGAGGGGAGCTCTGCTCCAGTATTTACTGCGGAAGGGCCACCCTCTCTGACCCCCATTTTCCCTTTGTCCCTAAACCCTTCCCTTCTTTACCAATCTACCCCTAGCTTGCTCTTTCTTCCTTTTCCTTCCTGCTGTCATCTGAGGTGGCTCTGCACTAATCACTTGGTGCATTGTCCCTCCACTGCCCCAACTTTGTCACCAGGGCTGGAGGGTAGGGGGATAGGTTTTGTTCCTGATCTGCCATTGGCCAGAACTTTCGGGGATGTCCTCAGGCTCTAGACCAGGGGTCGGCAACCTTTCTACGCATGACCAGATAGTAAATATTTGCAGCTTTGCTGGCCATACGCTCTGTCGCAAGTACTCAACTCTGCCCTTTGGGTGTGAAGGCTGTCAGAGACACTATGCAAATGAACGGGTGTGCCAACGAACCTTCGCTTATAGACACGGAAATTTGAATTTCATAGAGTTGTCATGTGACACAGAATATTATTCTTCCTTTGATTCTTTCCAACCATTTAAAAGTGTAAAAGCTACTCTGAGCCCAGGAGCCACACAGAAACTGGTGGGAAGCCAGATCTGGCCTGCGGGCCATCGCTGACAAACGCTGTCCTAGACCAACCACAAAGGGGACTCAAGGCACATGCAAATACTGTGGACATGTGAGCCAGAGAGGCAGAGTGACTGCCCTGCGGTCACACAGCCAGCTAGCGGCAGAGCCTGAAGCAGAGCCCGGGTCTGGGACACCGGTCCTGTTCTTGAGGACCAGGCTGGGCGAGACGCCAGGGGAGCCCCTGGCACGCACCACAGCCTGTCTCCTGCTGTTTATGTTTCTGCCTTGGAAACACCGCGACGAGGGCCTTCGGATTTGTCTCTGGCACCCGGGGGGCTCAGGAGTGCTCGTGAAATCACACGGAGGCTGTGTCCTGAAGCCAGGTGGGAGGCGTGCGCGTTTCTCTGCGCGGGCCCGCCGTTGCCAAAGCAGGCCTTTTCCTCTTTTCCGGCCACTGTGGTGGCCCTTTCACTGACACCGCTACAGCCACTTCCTCCTCCCAGTCCCCGGTTACATGTTCCCAGGACACGGCAGGGTCTTGGACTCCCTGCCTCCCTCTGAAGGTCAACCACCACCAGGACCGCTGTTCTCTCCATCCACAGGCTGCCCATCCCTCTAAACACCTCTGGTTATTCCCCAGTGCCTCGTGGCCCCTGAAGAAGCAGTGTGTTGGGGGGCAAGGAACACAGGCCCTGGAGTCCTAGACCTGGGTCCTAGTTCAGGCTCTCTCTGGAGCTGGCTTGGCAACCGCAGGGCAGTCACTCCATCTTTCTGGTCTGTCACTTTCCTCATCTATAGAATTAGCTCTACGAGCTTGAAGACACTATTTACACACCTCTGCACATCGGTCTCTTCATCTGTAACACAAGGATAGCAACATGAAATAATGTAGGTCAGGCCATGACCACCAGGCTCAATGCATAGTAAAGACAATTAAATGGTAAGGGGTTTTTTTGCTTTTGTTTTTGTTTTTCTGTTTGCTTAGTGCTTTTATCATTTTAGGTCCAAATGCCTTACCTGTTGCTTCAGAACTTTTCCTCGGGGTGTGGTCAACTCTAACCAGCCCGGTGCACCATGGGACTCATGCCTGTCCCACCCACTGCACGGAAGTGCTGGCCCATCGAAACTGCCTCAGAAAGATGACATACACGCTTCCTAATGAATCCCTTCTAAAGCCACACTCTCATCTAATACCACAAAGTCACTTGCTCCAAGCTGCCTTCAGCACCCGATTCTGACACCCTTAGCTCTGCACTCAAACGTTGCCATCCTGTGCGCGGCACCATTGCTGCCTGGTTGCAGGAAGCATCCTCTTCCTCTCCACTCAAACCATAACCCAGCAAAACACAACATTCCTATGTCTCCCTGAAGTCCCACGCAGGGCAAAATCTCGAGCAGAGCTACCCTCTCTTTGTGAAGCCAGCGGCCTCTGTGTTTTCTCCTTTCTGCTCACAGAGTCTCCCACACCCGCATCTCCCTCTTCTCTCCAATCTCTCACACCCGAGCTGGCGGCTGGGGGTCCGGGAGCCTCCTCCTCGGCATCCGAAAAGCCTGCCCATCTCCTCGCTAATTGAATCTATTTTCTGATCAACTGTGAAGAATGTGTTGGGTTTTTTCCCTGTTGGTTGAGTTCTAAAGTCTTTCACTTGTAATGAAGCGATTCTGCACTTTCAGTCTGCACAGCACCAGGAGGGCACCGGCTGTCCAACTGTTCCACCAAAGATAAGCTCACCCGACACACCGCCTCCCCCTCTGTGCCCCCCGCCCCCGCCGAATGGCTATTAATTTGCCACAGCTTCCACAGAGTTATCACAGACTTGGCTTCTCACTCCCACACATGCGTCAGGAAGGTTTTACTGTCAGTAAGTTTGGTAACTTAGAAACCTCTTCTTTAACAACTTTGAGGAGGAAAGTCATGTGTTCTCCCAGGCGCTCTGCTGGCTTATTTTTAACAGTCAAACTTGAGTATGTACAGGCGCTCTCCCTATACCTTTTGGTAACTTTATAATTATCCATGTTCAGGGGGTGTCATGTTCAAGACACAATGGTCATAAGATAACATGACTGTGAACTATCTCAGAGAAAAACCTCGGTGATGACTCATTCTTATAAGCCCACTCATGGTTATTTAGAGACTCACACCTCCTTCAGGTAAAACGGCTCCATCGAACCTGCTTTCATAACCCTCTGCCTCCCCTCCGGCACAGGGACCATCTGTTAGGTGGCGGGAACACCAGCGCTCCCTGGCATCTAGAACAGGGACCGGGGAGGTGGGGCCGACAGGTGTTTGGGGACCCAGGCTGACTTTGCGCCTCTATATTCACACCTTGTGCCCCGAGCCCCGCCCACCGCGGTCAGTGCAGAGAGGGTTCTGCAGCGCCCCCTCCTCGCGATCCCTGCTCGGCTCAGCTCACCACCTCTCCGCCTGGCAGACGCAACCACAGAGGGATCTGACAAGATCTAGGCGCACGCACCCATCAAGCTGCCAGCCGCAGAGGCAAGTGGCCTGTTTACTCAAACAGAAAAGCTGCGCCCAACAGGCCTGCCAGGCGTCAGGAAACAAAACACTGAGGACTGTTTCCAAGGAGCTGCCACAGGGCAGGTGCTCATTCCTTAAGATTAATCACCACACCCCCTGGAAAGAAGGGACATGTGACAGGTGAGGCTAAAGTCACATTCCTGCTTTGCTAGGGCCCACCTCCCACCGCGGGGTCAGACCACCCTATTTCACCCACAACGCACGTCTAAGCCTACAGCACATGCAATAAAATATAGCCGCCCACATACCATCTGCTGGTATGTGCCAAGGACGCACACATCTGAATTAGTCTTTTAGAAATATTTATCAGTTCGCGCGATCCCCGCCCATCCTCTCGCCTCCTTGTAAGGTTTGCAGAATGAAAAACGCTCAGAAGAACAAACAGGAGATAGTAGTGGGCCTGAGGGTGAGAAAACTTGGGGACCATTCCCAGTTCGAACCAGGACCAATGACGAGAACACACTGACCCCCGAAGAACGCCACGTTAAAGGGGGAGTGGAGAAATCGGACCGCAGGCCACCAGGTGATCAAGGGTTTGGAAAAGGAAGTGGGAATGATTCCAAGGGGGATTGGTGGAGGGGAATAGTCCATTCTTTCCAAGCACTGGAAGCTCCAGAAGGAAAGAAGCAGGAGGAGGGGGTGGGGGAGGGGCAAGAACGAGAGTCTGGGAAGTGTGAGTTGACTCGGGTGAAAGAGCACCAGTGGGGGGGGGGGGGGGGCTCGGATCTGGTTCCGGTCTCTCCATGTGCCTGATGGGGTGTCCTTTTGTCCCTCTGGGTCTGTGTCCCATCTCTACTGCCCAGCCAGGAGGGCAGGGCCCTACGGACGCCTGCGCCCCTGGGTTTCTGCAGAGCCCTGGAGTCATCCTGTTACGGCAACAGTGACCTGCAGCAGCGCGGGCTTTGCCCCTGGGGCGTAGGCATCGCTCTCAGGGTCCCTGTCCTGTCTCCCAGGGCTCTCCCTGTTCAGGTGTGGGGAGTCCCACCTGACGATGGGCTGGGGGGTCAGGTCTGGCCTCTCTCGGTCCCTTTCGGGCCTCGGGGGCGTGAGCAAGACGGGGGGGCCAGAGGCCTGGGCTTGCTCACCTCGCCTCTCTGCTCCATCCGCGGCAGCCACCGGGCTCAGTGCCCCCTGGTAAACAGCTCCGGTCGCCCAGGCAACCACGCTGTGGGGGGGCCACGTGCTTCCGGTCTGGTCAGAACTGGCTTGGCGGGCTGAGGTAGGGCAGGGGCCAGGCACGCGGGTGGAGGCGGGGTAGGCGACCCGGATCCTGGCATGGCTTCTGGGCTTAGCTGTCTGGTTTCCTGTCTCCTGGGGAGGGAGCCTGGAGCTCTGGCCTTGGGGGTGGTGGCGAGGAGCGGGCTGCCTGCCAAGCCCGTTTTGTAACCCTGACCCTTTCAGTGTTCCCAGCTTTTAGATGAAGCTGCAGGACTGATTCCTGGTGACCCTAGAGACTGAGTGGCTGCTTTGAGGACATTGGGGACCACTTTTCTGCCTTATCTGTCCTCATTTCCCGTCTGCCTCCCACTCCCAGACCACGTCCCATCCGGGACCTTGTTTTCAACTGCATTTCCACCTGCTTGGACCTTCCCGACCAGGACCTATTGCACTTGCAGCAACTCCAGTCCCTTCTACCCCACTCGTCTCTCAACACCTCGGAGGCTCCAGTCCCCCCACCCTCTCTGCTTTCTCCCGGCCTCTCAGCCTGTTCTTCCCTGGACTATCACCTCGGTCACTTCTTGCAAGAATGCTGCACGTCCTGGCTGCTGCTCTGCATTCCTCCCACTTGATGAAACTCTGGTGGGGCCCCTGACAGCCAGGCCCTGGAGAAACCTTGACCAGCCACAGGAGGCGGATGGAAACGTGTGGTCTCCAAACTCAGCTGAGCCCATAACCCTGCACAGAAATCCCTCTGCTCCCCCAGCTCAGTTCTGTCTCGCTTCTCTCCAGGGGCTGTTTCAAACCTTGTTCTCTCTCCTAAGCCTCCCTCCCACCTCTCCCCTTACCTCTTCCTGTTCAGAAGGTAGACTCTCTTCAGAGAGAAAATAGAAGCCATCACGTGGAAATGTCCTCAGCTTTCTGCCACCAGACCCACAAAATTGTCTACTCCTATCTCCCTGCTGTCCCCTCTCCCTCCTATTCTGACGCCGGGGGACACGTCCTCTGATTCTGCCCCAGACTGACTGCTCCTCCACATCTGTGCTGAAACCTGTCTCCGTCACAGGGCCACACATATGCACGCGCTCACCATAGTCCAGGCCTTTGCCCAGAATATTCTTCTCTAACCTCCCCAACCTCTCCTCCCCTTCCTGTCCCTAGTGCTCACTTACCCTTCAGAGCTCACGTTGGAATTGATAGCTTCAGAAGGAGTCCTAACTGGACTACCGTCTTCTGGGCATTGTTCTAGACTCTTAGAATACGCAGGTCAATAATTTAGCAACAATAATATTAGAAGATAATGTTAGTGGGCACGCAAGAACCCTATTGCCAGAGGAGAGAATTAGGACCCATGTCTTAGTGTTGTGGTAAAATATTTGCCGTCTGGTCTGCCCCAGACACATGCAACTCAAGTACAACATGAGCAGGATGCCCACCCTCCTCAGGACGTTCCCACTCGGTTGAGAAGACACATCGCGCACCCAGGGAGCTACAGATGAGATTATTTTCAATTCTGTCTGAGCCAAGTGTGGAAGAGCAGGCACAGTCCGGACGTGATGACGTGCGGAGCTATTGGCACCGACACAGAGGGCGCTGAGGTCTGCGAAGGAGGCGGTCATTCAGCCGCCGTGTTTCTGCTCATCTGTAAAGGAAGCGCCTCGTCTGGGGGAGCTGCTGCTGCCGAGGGCCTGGCTGGGAAAGCCTCCTGCTCGGGTCACCCCTCACCCACCTCGGACCCCCAGGGAGGTATCTGAGGCCCCCGAGAGGGTGCCGGAGGTGGCGGTTTGGGGGAGCTGGTGGGTTTGCAACTCTGTGCTGGTAGCTTATTTCCTGTAAATGATTCTGTCTGAGTATCTAAGCAATGCTCTTCAGCCCCTGAACACCCACCGGAAAAAGATGAAAGTGGATTTTTCATCAGCTATTTTAATAGCACCTAAGAGTTATGCAATCTTTTGGAAAATCAAATTGGCTTCTCACCCCCTTTGTGTGTGTGTGCGTGTGTGTGCATGTGTGCACGGGCAGGCCGTGGGATGGATGGCGCTTGTGCCCAAGGTCTCTCTAACATTTGGTTTGCAGTGTGTGCCTTTTGCTCCAGGTGTCGTGTAATGCACAGTGTGAGATGGGAGGGGGGCCGGGGGAAGGAAAGGCAGCTGGCTGGTCAGTTGCCGTGCCCACCTGCTCTTCAGAGAGGCTGACTCTGCTGCCTTTGTCTCCCCTCTGGCTGTAAAGAAGGTGTCTGCAGCCCTGGCCAGCCTGCCTTGGGTAGTTGGAGCTGCGTCCTGTAGTGAAAGGTTGAGGGTTTGATTCTCCATCAGGGCACATACCTAGGTTGCAGGTTTGATCCTGCATCAGTCCCCGCCCAGTCCAGGAGAGTACGGGAGGGAACCCATCGATGCCTCTCTTTTGCATCAGTGTTTCTTTCTCTCCCTCCTCTCCCTTTAAAAGCAATGAAGAAAATGTCGTTGGGTGAGGAAAAAAATAAAAAAGGTGTTTGCAAAGGACAAACCTTACAATGCACACCCTCAGTGTAGGTTCTCTGCAGTGTGGTCAGAGGTCACTGTCACGCCTGCTCACACGTAGATTCTCCTTCCCAGCCACGGTCCCCTCTGTGCCCCAGGCCTCTCCCTCAGCTCCAGCCAACTGGTTTCCCAGACAGGCCCTCGGATTTTTCACCTCCAGGGTCTCTGCTCATGCCTCTCCCACCCTGCTCCTTCCTTGGAGTTTACCCAAATTCACTGATCCTTCCAGGCCCATCTTAAAAGTCACCTTTTTCATGAAGGCTGTTTCAAAACACCTTCTCTCTCCCCAAACCTCTTGTCCTTTTTCTGGTCCCCTTTGGCCCAGTAGAACGTGCCAGCCGGGAAGGCACCAGGCACTCTCACAAGGTCAGCCCCCCTCTTCATCCATCAAGACGGCTTTCTAAAACGACTGAGCCTCGGGCCCCCGGCTGCTGGCAGAGCCCTTTTAAAACCCCAGTCCTGCTGACTGCAAAGCCCACCCTGGACCCGCAGCCACGCCCCGCCCCCTGCACCCCTGCACCCCTGCAGGTGCTTAATCTGTTTCCTGTCCACCCACTGCCCCACCGAGGGTGCTGCAGGCATGGCCTCTGAGTCAGTTGGAATCCTGGCTGCACCGCCTGCTAGCTGAGAAGCTTGGGCAACTGGTGTACCTTCTCTGGACCTCAGTGTCCACATCTGTGGAATGGGGATGATAAGAATAGGGTTGCTGTGAGGGTGAAATGAGAGAGTGCATGTGAGGGACATAGCACGTGGTAAGGGCCTAGTCAGGGTTGATGCTCATTACCATATTTTTCATGTTACACTGCACATCTGCTTCAGGAGGTCGTGAGCCCATGTCTGTGCCCCCTACTTTGCCCACACGGTGCCTGCCTCATGGTAGGTGGTTGGCAAATGGGAATTAAATGGATGGTGGTAGTGATGATGATGTTGACTCCACAGCTTTTCTACTGAGAGGTCCAACAAACTGCCAGTTGGTACCCTCCCTCCCCCCTCCCCGCCTCCCCTGCGGAGGATATCTGACTCGAAGTCTAAATGACCTTCCCCAGGGCTGGGCTGAGGGCAGGAGCTTATTTGCTTTTCACCTTTGCAGTCTCTGACAAAATGAAAGCTTTTCTGGGCGACACCAAGTCCCTAATTGTGCATCAGGAGCAGTACTGCTGATGTGGCTAGAGCCATCTGCCCTGCTCTCAATGGCCCCAGGGTCACAGCTTGGTCGGTTATTGTTTTAATCACTTCTCCCTCTCCTTTGCTTCCCTGCTAAGAGCAGCCACTCGGGCTTTATTCCTGTTCAACTTCTGGGTCTGAGGAAAAGACGCTGATGCCTTGGCAGAACTGTGTCTAAAATAAGAGCGTTGTGGCATCTGCTTAAATGCTCGGGTCGTTTGGTTCTCTGCTGTGTTTTGGATAAGGACAGCTCTTGCTCAATGACCCACAGGTAGGCAGGGGAACTGCTAAGGGGCTCAGGGTGCCACCTTTGGAGTGAGACCCACTTGGGCTAAGTCCTGGCTCTATCAGTTTACAGGGATGAGTACCTGACACCACCCATCTTGATTCCTTCCTCAATAAACTGGGGCTGATTGTCTCTGCCTCCTTGGGAGTATTCCAAGAGGATTCAAGGAGGTAATCCAGGGACCGTGCTTAGCCCCGTGCTGGTCCTCGGTAGGTTGTGTTTTGTTTTGACTTCTGTAACTTGCAGCATGATCGTACTCCGATCTCCATTCATTCACCCCCACCAATACTTAATACTGCTCATTTTTCCTTGCCTGGTTTCCTTGTCTGCAAAATGAAGATAATATTAGTACTGACCTAGCTGGGGGATGTGAGCGCTTAATGCATACATACAAGTGAAGTGCTCAGAAGCTGTGCAAAGTATAGAATAAGTGTGATGCAAATGTTACCCACCCTTATCATTATTACCAGTTTGCCCTGGGCACTGTGCTGTGGAGACTCCAGGGATAAAGAGATGAACACGATGGAATGAGCCTCGACTCCTGGATTGTTCAGGCTCTTTCCTTGTCTTCTCCATGGGGAACAAGGCCAATCGATGTTTCCTTGCCGTCTGAGATGAATGGACGGGTCTGAGAGGGAAGCTCTCAGACACCCGCCAGCTTGGCGGCTGTCGCCCCAGGGGCGGCACAGGAGGCCGCGCCGCACTTCCTACTGTGCTCTCGCCCTTCATCAAGTGCCGGGGCCTCAGTTTCTCCGTCTCTAAAATAACGATGGACCCTCTCCCCTTTTCCTGGGGATTAAATAGTGTAATACCCATGAGGCCTTTAAAGAAAACAGCACCTGACACTTAGTAATTTCTTAATAAATGTTGGGAATGAATAATGGGCATTTTTAGTTTCACTTTAAGGAGAGGAAGCCTAGGGGCTAAATTGATGAATAAGATGCCCGGGCACTAAGGAAGGAAAACACGGGTGGGGTGGAGGGCAGCTGCCATGAGGCTCCACGTTCCTGCACTGGATTTCCAGCATGAACCTCACGTACGCCTTTGAACTTGGGAGCAGAAGGAATACTGACCCCTCAAAAGAAAAAAATAAAAAAGATGAAGAGATAGTGTTGCCAAAGAAATTAAATGAAAAAAAAAACATTTGCACTTTTTAAACAACTGAAGCTTTCTTATCTTTATATTTAGGTCTAAATACCAGACAGAGTATCATCTTCAGAGATAACTGGGTTTGAAAAAGATCTCTTTGCTCTGAGGTCCCCACTGAGGGCCTTCCAAGGTCTGCTCTGCAGCTGGGGCCTCATTTTGGTCCTTTCCTCCCTGAACAGGCGTTCAACGACCGGCCCCTGGGAACCAGAGGGAGCTGCGATCCAGGGGCCTCGGACCCCATGGGCTTCTCGGGAATGAGGGTCCTCGGCGTTCTCGCGGTCTTCGCCTCCTGCTGTGAGTAGAGCGCAGCTGCCAGAGTTCCAAGGTGCCGTCCCCCTGCCTCTGTGTGTGCGTCCCTGGGATGGTCCCTCCTGGGGTGGCTTTGGGTGAGGGGACATCTGGTGTCACTCAAAAGGGAATCAGGAGTAGAGCAGCCTCCTACCCATGTTCTCCTGCTTCTGTCTCTTCTGAAAAATGGGCTGGTCCCTGTGCTGGGGCCTCCAAGGCTTCTGGGGAATCAAAGGTCGCAGCGCTTGCTAAGGAAGAGGGCGTTGGACTCTGTTTTGCCGCACACAGCCCCTTCGGGGGTCTTTCCTCTGGATGTTGGTTGCCTTTATGTCAAGCCATGTGGGTTCCAGAACACAACCGTAGACATCGACCCAGCTCATGTGGGGACAGTTCTTTTCCCTCAGACAGGCATCCTTATGGTGACTTACGGAATAACTGGTAATCAGAAGCCATCGCTACCGGGCGATCAGATCGCCTGCCTCTGCAGAGTGGAAAGAACGTAGTAGGAAACAGTGTTAGTTAGTTCTGTTGGGAGATTCTTCAACTCTTTGATTAGTTGAGATTTGTCTAAACCCATTCTTCTACCCGTTTCAGCTGTGGAGCAATAACTTTCGGGGTGCTAAGTCAAAATGTCAAAAAGGAGGGTCTCATTTTCTCTTAGTGGTGGAATGTAAAATTTCAAGGTCATAATGTGGGGGACCCATGTGCAGGGAATGCCACTTCTGCTGCCCCCCCCCTGCGGTGTGCCCAGAAGATCCCACCTTCTCTCTAGGGGCCACTGGTGCAGCAGGGACCGCCCCCGGGCTTCACCCCCTCTTTGGCGCTTTGCGGCAAGACATCGGAAACCACAGGATGTGATGGGAAGGCTACTGGGAAAATGTCCCCAAGCCTTCTGTCTCTGTTGTTAGTTCTTCAAGTTCATGTTTTTATTTTATTTTTACCACAAGATTAACCTATGCTTGTAATTAACAAGTGAAATAAGTGAGTATCAAGTAACAAACAAAGTCCCTTGTTATCTTCCCTGACTCTGAGCCTTCTCCCACACCCAGGAGTAACCACTTATTAGAGTTAGGTATACGTTCCAGCCTGGCTGATGTGACTCAGTGGATTGAACACCGGTCTGTGAACCAAAGGGTCGCAGGTTCGATTCCCAGTCAGGGCACTTGCGTGGGTTGCAGGCCAGGTCCCTAGAAGGGAGTGCTTGAGAGGCAACCACATGTTGATGTTTCCCTCTCCCTCCCTTCCCCCTTTCTAAAAATAAATAAATAAAATCTTTAAAAAAAAAGAGAGGTATACATCCTCCAGGACTTTACACACACACACACACACACACACACACACACACTTTAATGGAAGAGTAACACATGCTCATTGTAAAAGAAAATCAAACAGCATAAACATACACAAAAAAACGTTGCCTGCTTTTCTTTCCACCTACCTCCTCAATCCCATTGCCTTGGGGTGTTGCTGTTAAAAAGCAGTGTGTCTTCAAGACATCATTTAGTGACAATCTCCGTCGGTGGGGAGGGGGGTAGTTCCCAGTTTTCTGATGTCACAACGCTGCGGCAAACACACACCCACACACTCCCCCGTCCCCAACTCTTATAAGCATTTTTTAGAAGTAAAAATTGCTGGATCCATGTGTTTTTGCTATTAAAAAATGGATTAAGGTTATCTTTTCTGCGCCCGAAGTATTTTGTGTCTCCTGTGAGACTGTTAATGCCCTGTGATATTTGTAGGGCCTGGCATTTCTGGCTTTGAACTTCCCCCGTTCACAGTGAACAGCAGACCTGAGGGAGTTTCCGCCTGGCCGGTGGGTTTTCACTTTGGGGAGGATTGTAGTTGACGGTATAGTTCTGAACCTCATGGAGACTGGCTTCTCATCCTGGACTAGCGAGAAACCGGCTGTGTGACGCGGTGGATCCGATCCGATCTCCTTCCCCAGGAGAGGGGATCCCCGGATCCCAGACTGCGGACACACCTAGCTCAGGGGCTACCGAGTCCCGGAGTGCAGGGCGTTTGGACAGGGAAGGCTGTCAGAGCAGCGGGGCTCTAACGGCACTGTGTCCCCTCCCTGATTTCCCCGTTGGCAGTGGTAGCCCTCACCCACAGCGGCTTCTGGCAGTTTCAAAGGATGGTCAAGCACATCACCGGGCGGAGTGCCTTCTTCTCCTATTACGGATATGGCTGTTACTGCGGGCTCGGGGGCAAAGGGACCCCAGTGGATGACACTGACAGGTGAGTTGCGAGGCTCCAAGGCCTCCTATCATACTTTGCATCGAAACCCATGTTTGAAGAGAGGGGATGTATCAGGACTCTTGATATTGCAAGTCACAGAAACCAGTTCAGGTGAACCTGGGCAGAAACCGAATGGGGGCTGGAGGGGGGTCTGGAGGAAGCCAAGACAAGGGCCGAGTCTCCGAACCTGCAGCTTGCGCTGCTGTGTGGGGCCAGCGTCCCTGGGGCCCTGCGCCTCCTTACGTTTTCATTTGGTGCCAGGCCTTTTGAATGATGCAGTCAGTCCTGCTTGGAGCTCTAGAAACACTTTCAGTTCTCAGGCAAATGTGGTCTTCTCTCAGTGCTCCCATTGTTGGCGCCGCTGCCTCCCAGCCCTAATTCCTTACTCCAGGAGAGAGAATCTGAGAGACCCGGTGGGGAAAGTCACCCATCTGGGTGAGGTCACATGGCACAAGTCTGGCTGCCAGGCCCACTCCAAGGATGGGGGTCAGGGAGTGTGAGTTCCTGGAAAAATGGAGCTTGGTGTGATCTGGCGAGGGAGGGTCTGGGAGGCTGGAAATGGGGGAGTGTGCGAGCTTCGTTGGAAGGAATAAGAAATAAAATGTTCCTTGCCACTTTAAACCTCGCCAGGACAAATGTGTCCCCACAACGAGGCCCGAAGTGTCGCTCCTGGAGCTTGATTTCTCTGGGTCGGGCTCCTGAGACATGGAATTGGTGCAGCTGGAAGGGCCCAGAGCCCTGGAGGGGACCCGATACTGACGAAATGCCCCCGCCCCGTGACGAGCACTGGGACTGGTGATTTGCACAGGGGACATAATTCAGTCCTCGCAGTGAGTTGAAGACATGCAGCGACTATGTGGCAAAGTCAGGATTTGAACAAGAATTTGCTTGTTTTAACGTCAAGGCCCTTTGATACTCTGTGCCTCCCCTGTTCGAGTTCAAAGGCAGATGAGAAATGTAACACTGTTAAGCCAAAGATGACAGATGGCAGAGAGCCTGCTTGCAGATGGGGACAAGGAGGGGGAGGACTGAAGCATCTGGCCGAGGGCATCTGCCAAAAGCCTTTTCTTTTCTGTGTCTTAGAGTCCAGCGCCAGGTGTCTGCTTTCCTGCCCGTTGTAAGTTGGTTGAAGAAATGAGCCAAGGCCATTCCCCAGCTGTTTCCTTCCCTCGAATGTTCTCCCCTCCCGCCTCCGCCCCCACCCCGTCACTCTGAGCACCATGAGAGTAAGATCTGAAGCGTTATGTGCTTTTGCTGACAACCATCTCCTCATAGACTGTCACAGTGCTTGGCATATAGTAGGTGCTCAGTAAAAAGTCATTCAATGAACGAATGAGTATACAGACCTAAAGTGGAGTCCTGAATCTGTCAGTTTCCCGCTGTGTACTTTTGGGAAATTCACATCCGAATCTCACTCTGTCCCCTATGAAATGGGGACCGTGGTCACACTTCATAGGGTTACTGTGAGGCTAGTGACATAGGTACTGGAGGGCGCACCAAATGTGAGTGGTTATTAGTAGTGTTTTTAGTATTGTCATTCATTTATCTCCCTACTCCCCACGCCTTCTCGTCCAGGGGAGGGGGCAGGCAAGTCCTTGCCGCCTCGGTCCTCCAGCCAACTCCCCAGGGCCCGGCCACGGTACAGCCCCTCCCCCTCTCTACTCTGGCCCCCAGGTGCTGCCTGGCGCATGACTGCTGCTACGAGAAGCTGAAGCAGATCGGCTGCCAGCCCCTGCTGAACAGCTACCAGTTCCACATCGTCAACAGCACCGTGGTCTGTGAGTAGTCTCTCTGTAGGGAAATGTCTTTGAACTTGAGCCTTCCCTTAACATCTGCCTCCTCATGGATCCACACTACCTTTAGGGAGTGAGATTTCTCCAAGTGCCTCGAGATGGTAAGCGGCAGCAATGCCGAGAACCAGAACTCCCTGGGAGTCCTTGCCATTCTCTCTCTGGTGGCTCCTGCCTGCAGCTGCGCCCAGCGCGGGGCCAGTGCACGCAGTACATGCTCATTAAACTACTGTTGACTTGAGATTATGCTGGATTTGCTGCTGCGCCTGGCAACTGTGGCTGCTGAGAACTAGAGTCTTCCTTGTGTCTGTCATGCGTTGACAAAGCGGCTCTGCTGTCTTTCAGTTGAACAAATGTTTGTTAAGCACTGTGACAGGGACTCTGGGGGGACACAGCAGTAAGTAGGAGAGGGTGGGGAAGGGAACTCACGTGTCGTCAAGGGCATTCAAGGACAAAGAACAAGGGTGGGCAAGTACTGAATGTCCAGCACTCGGGAGGGGCCCTAATGTCCGGGGAGATGTTCTGGGGCTGCCTTGGGGGTGGGGTGGGGTGGGGTGGGGGGCTGTGTGGCCAGGGCCAGTTCGGTCTAAAGAGCAATGCACTTGAGAGCCCTGGGCTGTTCGTGAGTGCCAGTGGAGGTGGTTTGACCCCCCTGGAGAGTGCGAGACTCTCCTCCTCCTCAGCCATTGGAGTAGCAGGAGCCCCTTTAGTCCCCACATGTGTTTATTCACAGCTGTGAGTGTGCTTTGAAGTTCATGTCTCCTCCCGAGGTCAGGAAACCACTGCCTCCCTTGTCCTCATCTCCCCCATTATAGGGGGTGCTCAGTGCTCAGACCCAGGTCCCTGCTTCATCCCCACCCTGGGTTTTGGCTCAGGACACACGGAGATGGACCAAGGAGACTGTGCAGTCTTCCCAGTCCCAGGGGTGAAGCCTGAGATGCGGTGGGCTGGGGACTCAGGCCCCTGCCCCCCGGAGGGCCAGCTTCAGCTCCATCTGCTTCTCAGCCCCCAGAACCCCGTGCCCCCAGGCACACTGCCAGTGGGGAGAGAGCCCCCTTTTTCCATGTGTGCTCAGGGAGACTTCCGGTGTTGGCGTGGTCTGGCCACGAACACCCTCAGGCCTAAAGCAAAGTATCTCTTCTTTGAGGCCCCAAGGTCAAGTCCAGGAGATGGGAAGAGATCTGGGTGTGGTACAAGGGTGGGGAGTGGAGGGTGGGTGGAGGAGGTGGCCCTCAAAGCATTGTTTGCTTGGTGTCTGTTGCCCTCTGGAGGCCAGACCAAGTGTCTGCCCCCCCCCCCCCAGATGTGGGGCAAGCCGGCTGCTGGTTGGTAGGGGAGGGGGCACAACACAAAGATGCACCCGACTCTTTTCTCAGCCTGGCTCATGGCGTTGCTTTCTTCTCCCTGGTTTCTCCTCACCTCTTTCCACCTTGGTCTCAAGATCTGCCCTGTCAAGTGTCATCTTCAGTGATCGGAAAGGCAGGGGTTTTAGAGAAAATACACCGGAGGAGCTCTCTCTTCTGACGTTGCCGGGAAGCACAGGGACGGAGGCAGAGGGACGAGGTGCTCTGAGGGGGAGCGGAACTTCCGTGGGTACGAAGCCCTTCACACACATCAGTCCCAGGCCCGGACTGAGCCTCTGCCCTTGGCTCCTGGGGGCGGGCTGTGCCCTCCAGGGCCAGCCTGGGGGCCGTGTGCACCTGAAGGGGCTCCATTGTCAACCTCTTCACTTCCCACTGGGGGTCGGAGCTGCCACCCAGGACCCCAGGAGATGGAGGAGTGTGACATGGAACAGAGGCCGGAACACCAGGTGGAGGCATGTCCTCTGCTAGGCACGTGCCGAGAGGTGGCAGAAGGTGCAGGGAGGGGCTGGGAGCTGGACAGCCCCTGATGAGTGGCAGTGACAGGTCACTTCTGCAACTCAGTGAGGCTCCCGAGGCCAGAGCCCTGCTCAGGGGATTAGCATGCAGGGACACTTCCCGGCCACCACCAGGACATCAGCTTCCCCTTCCTCAGCTGACCCAGCCAGTGGGTCCCAGGCAGCCCCGCTGTCCTCCTCATCCTGCCTTGCCAAGGCCCTGATCCCTGGACTAGGGCTGAGACCTGGGTGATCTGGGTTCTAGTCCTGGGTCTGCTGCTGGTAGTAGGTGCTGAGACCTCACTGGAGACTCAGGCACATTCATCCGCTTGCCCAGTAATGCCTGAGCGCCCACTGGGTGCCTGTCCAGGGCCAGTGCTGTGCCAGGAGCCAGGGGCACTGAACAAGGCAGCCTTGGGCCCTGCTGTCTTGGTATTTTCCAGAATCTAAGGCACCCTTAGTGACCATCCAGACTAACCCTTCTTTGTAACAACAAGGGCACTGAGGCCCAGAGAGGGGACAGGCTTGACCCGAGTAACTGGCAAGGCAGGACCACGAGCATCAGGAGTCCCGCCGGTGCTCTGGAACGCACTGCCTGGCTGGCGTCTCCTGCGCCTCGGTCTCTTCGTCCACAGAACAGCTGTCATAGTAACGGCTGTGGGCGGTGAGCATCTGTGCCAGTACCTGGAACCCCCCCTGACAAGCCTTTGAGGTGGGCATTCTGCTCCCCGTTATTGAGGAGGATCCTGAGGCCCAGAGGGGTTAAGTGAGATGCCAATATCACACAGCCAGGGAGAGAAAAGCTGGGCTTCAGACCCTGGTCCTCTGACCCCAGAGCTTGTGCTCCTGCCTCACACCACGCTCCGCAGTGGCAGGGGCCCATCGGGAGGGTAATGGGTGCACTCGGTTGGAGGACTTACACAAATGCAAACCTTAGTGCGTGCAGCACACTCAGTAGGATGCTCAGCCCCGGCCCAGGGGGGCAAAGAAAGGCAGACGGAGTTGGCTCCTCTGCAGTGCCCTGGATCCTTCTGTCCTGGCCCTAGGTGCCCTGCTAAGAGGGCCAGAGAGAGCAGTGCTTTGGAGTTGAGCAGAGCTGGGTTCGAATCCTGGCTTCACCCCTTCTAGCTGGATAATTGCAAAACCATCTGGGCCTTAGGCTCCTCGTCTGTAAAACGGAGAGAATAGTACGCACTTCATGAGGTTGCTGTAACGATTGGCTAAAGTAACCCAACTAAAGGCCCTGGCCCGCAGCAGGTGCCCTTTCTTTTAGAAGCCCAGCTTGCTTTTCACATCGAAGTTTTCTTTTCCCCTTTGCTTTGCGCAGAAGCACTGGGATTTTCCTTATTACCGCTGAGAGATTTCTTTGAAGCATTTCCTCTGCACTTGCATCTCTTCGAACCCAAGTCATGAGCCCCTCATAGAAGAGCTCCCCACCCCACCCCCAGGTACACTGCAGTTCAAGAGCTGCCCTGCAAGGGTTAATCGCCTCCCCAGCCTCAGGTTCTGAAATCCTGCACCCAGGCCCAGTCACAGGTTGCCTAGCAACCAGTGGCTGCTCTGGGATGCAGCTGGTGAGCAGGGGAGGGAAAGCAGAAAAACAACTTGGTCTGTCCTCCTCTCCAAATGTCACTGGGAGATCAGTGCGGAGATAGGCCTGTAAACCGAGCCCTCTGGCCAATTTGCCGGGTGAGGAAGGCTGCCCTCCGGCAATCAGGGCGGTGGTTATCTCTCCTGTGAGTGGGCTTACATAAGTACTTGGCATTTGCAAGGGACTGTACGATCAGCCAGTGGTGACAGCCCCCTCCACCCACACAGGCCCGCAGATGCTGCGTGGGGAGGAGCCTGGCCGTGGGAGGGAGGCAGGGACCGCGCTGTAGCCAGCAGTGACTTCTCCCTCTGCCAAAGGGCACAAGGCGAACCCGGTAACCAGTGGAATCTGTTGTTTGCCCAGATCCTCCTCCTTTGCTACTGGATTTACTCCTCTCAGCACTTGCACTCGCTGACATATGGCCAGTTTTCTCTCCTAGTGTTTGCCTCCACCTGAAATTACCTTGTTTACTTTTGCACCAACTCCTCCTGGCTCCCCTCCAAATAGAATGTGGGTTCTATAGCAGGAGGCAAGCCCGGCTTGTTCCAGGACGCTCATTCTCAGAGCCCACGGGGAAGGATGCCCCTGGAGCTGGGCCGTGTGGGGTCTGCTCACTCAGACCTCTACCCCCAGATTCTAGCCCAAGACCAGGCTCATCATAGGAACTTGGTGTTTGTTTGATGAGTGAATAAGTGATGGACCATTAGACATTCCATGCAGGTGTCCTTATCCCCATTGGAAAGCTTGAGGAGCAGCCTTGGAGAGAAGCTCTCCTGAGACCCGAGAGGGTGCAGGCAGCAGGTCTGGACCTAAAGCCTGGCTTCCTGCTTCCTGGGACGGAGCTCCTTTCGCTGCCCCACAGTGGGCAGAGGTCCAGCTGGTGAGGGGGCAGCAGGCCGCAATGGCGTGTGGACTGCGTGCATGGGGCCGTAGATCTGCGAGGACAAGGCAGACTCTCAGCCTTGTCTGGCACCTTCTGGGAAGTTTCCCAGAAGGAGCTTGCATTTAAGGAGGGAGACAGGTCATAAAATATTCAGAAGTAAAGACACATTCGGGTAGTGACAAGTGCTACAAAGTATTTAAAACAGGGCAGCAGGGTAAAGGAAGACGGAGGCAGGGGGAGGAAGGGTGGCTACTTCAGGTGGCTGAGGAAGGCCTCTCTGAGGAGGTGGCATTTGTCCAGTGTGGTGGGCACAGAGGAGACAGGAAGGAGAGGAGGGGAGATGAGGGTGGACCTTGGACAGGGACCAGTCCCACAGGGCTGGGGGGGGGGTGAGGAGTCCACTTTCTGCTTCAACGGCAGGGGATGCTGTTGGATCCTTAGAAACAGGCAGTGATCTGCATTAATTTTGCTTTAGAGAACTCACTGTGGCCACTGTAGAGAAGTTGGGGAGCAAGGAAGAAAAAGGGGGAACTGTGAGTGAGGAGAAGTCACCACATGTGGATGAGGGTAATGGCATGGAGGTGGGGAGCGGTGTCAGATGCTGGTGTGTTTTGGAGGTAAATTGGCAGGACCTGCTGATGCATTCGATGCAGGGTGGGGAGGGCAGGGAGCCTGAGCCTGAGGCTCTCCGCCTGAGCAGCGGTGGGTAACGGCAGCATCCTCGGGGCTCGTGCTGGTGGGGGAAGAGCAGACTATGAAGACACAGCGAGAGCTTGTCGAGAGCCAGGTGGGGTTTGAGGTGCATGTCAGACGCCGAGAGAGAGGTCAAGTGGACACGAGCATGTTGGAGACCAGGGCTCAAGGGAGCCGTCTGGGCTGGTGTGGGAGCAGGAGAGTCGTCGGGGCTCAGGTGGTCCTTAAAGCCCTGCAGCCGCACAGGAGCACCCAGGGAGGGGACTCGGAGACAGGAGAGGACTCGGAGGCAGCGGGGAGGCCTGGCACGCAGACAGGCGGGGGCCCGGCAGGAGGCCTGGTTCAGCTCCAAAGTGAAAACGCACTTCATTGGCGGAAGTGTGTTTTCACGGAATGAGAAAGTATCCTTTCAGTTCCTTACAGTATCCTTACAGTTTAGTATCCTAAATTGTCGGTTCCATTTTTCATGCCTCAGTTTTCCCATCTGTATATTGGAACACGCAGGATCTGGATTGAGGCTTGTTTTGAAAGATTGGCTTCCGAAGATGGCCTTTCCTGGCCGAGGGCTGTCTCTTCCTCCGGGCCACAGCAGGCCTGATCCCCACCCATCCACAGCTGTGGGATGCCCGCGCAGATGACAGTCCACAGTCACAGACCACTCAAGGCCACTTCCAGATGGCCCGGGGGCTGGGCAAGCCTTCAGAAACAGAACTGAGTGTCAGGAGAGATTATACTCCATGCTTTGGAAAGGACCAGAAGGCAAAGCAAGAATGGGAGAGGGGTGTGAGAGAAGGGAAGGGGAGGTCTGCAGAACCAAGGTGGAAGAAAGGAGAGATGGGAAAGAAGAGGAAAGGGAGGGGAGGGGGCCGAGGCGCGGAGAGACAGTGTCTCAACTCAGGTTTCCAGGGACACAGCACCTGGGTGAGTGACAGCATGTGACACCAGGCCCTTCTCCCGGGAGAGTGGGGTTGAATGGGCTGGGCCTTGTGCTCAGGTAGCCCTCCTCCCCTGAGAGGACCGGCCATGGACCACGTGGGCCCCTGCAGAATGCGGTGGCTGCCTAGGGCGGAAGCAAAGGACGCACTGGGTACAGCCAAGGTGACAGACCTTGACATGGATGTCAACCGGGGCTCTCGAGGAAGTGCCTTGGGGGGCCGGAGCTTGTTGGGTCTTGAGGGATGTTCACAGGTGGGGAAGGGAGCGTGTGAGGGCAAAGGTGACCCAAGCAGCAGGCACAGTGGGCCCAGGGAGAACAACGGGGAACCAGAGGTGGGGACATCCCTGGCACAGCCTGTCGTGAGGGTGACTGAAGAGGTGGAGCTGAGGCGTAGGGTGGGTGTCTGCATCTCCTGAGAACCCACGTCTCCAGGGAGGTGGGGGAGGACAGCTCCTGCAGGAAATGTGGACCTCGGAGAGGGAGCGAGGCACTGACTACAGCCCCCTGCTTGCTCCCACTTAAGAGGAATCTTCTTTGCCCCACCCGTGAAGCTAAGGGCTGGCCATCGTCCTAATAGTAGGCATTCACACAGCGCTCTCTGTGTGCCTGGCACACCCAACCTTTCCATCTGCCAGCAGCAGCGGGACTCCTCCCAACCCTGGGAAATGGACACTGACTTGCTTTTGACACTATTATTTTTAATCACCATTTTAGACATTAGGATACTGAAGCTAACTTGCCCAAACTCGACAAACCATGGCATCTGGCTGCCTCCCTTTCTTACCTCGACCTTCAAAAGAGAGCAGAACTGGGTGGAGTTATCTAGAAAGAGGGAGATCTCTTAAATCTCTGTGCCTTAGATCTCTTTCTCTCTCTCTCTCATGCACACACACACACACACACAGAGCACTGCAGCTCCAACCATAGTAAAAGATGCCTATTTAGTGGCACTGGCCAAAGGGCAGACACTTCATCCCAAAGGCCTATGGAGGCATCATTCATTTATTCAACGATCGTTGAGCACCTACTATGTGCTGGCACTTATTCTGCATGCTGGGGGTACTGCAATGGACAGACGGAGAAAGTCACAGCCTCAAAGAGCTCACACTCTGCCGAGAAGGGACAGACACCAGCAAGTAAGTGAATGAGAAGTACCAGTTATGACCGTCCAGCAGATGAAATCAACAGGGAGGCAAGAGAGCAGCTGGATGAGCCTCAGGTCGAGACTCTTGGACTGGGGCGAATTTGACCAAGACCCAAAATGCAGGATGGATCCAGCCCCTTGAACATCCTGGAGAGAATTGTTTTGTACAAAGAGGTCAGCAAGTACAAAGGCCCTGAGACAAGACAGCAAGACATGTGACCTGAAGAGGCCAGCGTGCCTGGACAAGAGCAAAAGTGGACAAATGAGGGACAATGAGGAGGGAGAGGTTGGCGAGGGTCCCATCATGGCAAGCCTGCCTCAGAGTCTGTGGCGAGCCTTTGGGATGTCTTCCCCAAATAGTGGGGACCCACAGCAGGGCTTTAAGGGGGGAGCGATCCTAATCCAGGTTACATTTGGAAAAGGTCCCTATTTATTTCCTTCCATTAGGGAGGAAGAACTGGTGAGGACAGGGATTGGGGTGGTGGCTGAGAAGATGGAGAGCAGAGGGCAGAGCGTGAAATAGTTTAAACAGGGATGTGCAGGTCGACGGGGCGTGAAAAGTCAGAGGCGGGAGGGATCAGGGTTGGCTGCTCATTTTCTGGCTTGAGTAGGAGGCGGTGCCATTCACCGAGCCAGGGCTGTGGCTGCGGGACAGGCTTGGTGGGCCTGAGAAGATATCTCAGAGGAGCCAATTAATGTGTGGGACCACAATTATGGGGGAGCACTTGCATCATGAATTCCCTTTCAGACGTAAGTTGTTGGCGACTGAGGCATCCACATGAGATGCCAAAGCAGGTGGTTGGAAATCTGAGATGAGTTCTGAGAAGCTGCCCCACAGCAGCCCCCACAGCTGCCCACTACCCTGGGGCACTAACTCAGGGCACCCGTCCATGCAGGCCATGCTCCCCAACTTCCGTTTTCTTCTAGTCTGCTCCTCACGCCAGTACCTGTGACGTGTCCAGGTAGGATCAGGCCTTGGGGACAAAGGAAAAGGACTCCCAAGTGACTTTCCTTTTCTGTTTTCAACATCTGGTTCCTTACAACAAGCTCTCTGTTCTCCCAAACCTTAGACCCAAACCCAGGAGTGAGCTGGGAGCTCCCAGTGACCCTCTGTCTCTCTGCAGGTGGATGTGCCCTGGGTCCCAGTGTCGGCTGCCTCTGTGGGCTGGGGGCCTGCGAGTGTGACAAGCAGTCTGTGTACTGCTTCAAAGAGAGCCTGCCCACCTACGAGAAAAACTTCAAGCAGTTCTTCCTGAGCCGGCCCCGGTGCGGCAGGCGTAAACTGAAGTGCTAGGGAGGCCACGGGACCCTTTTGTTGGTCAGCATCTGCTGCAGGATCACTTCCGGGAAGCCCTCTCCCATCATCCCGACCAGCTCCAGTTCCTGCAGCTCACACTCTGGCGTCTGGCCAGGGGTACCTCTTTATCACTCGGCATCAGAGGGTTAGAGAATCAAAGACAAACTCTTGGCATCCTATAGAGGGAGACAGGCCCTAAGCATCTACATAAATCAGGGACACATTTCCATAATAGAAAGTGTTGGGAGGCAACAAAACAGCATAAGAGGGATGTCCCCAACCCCCATCCAGGAAGTTTCCAGGATGAAGAGGCCCCAGGATCTTCCCTGAACTCTCCCTCCACCCCAACCCCAGAGCCGGCTGCAGGGTGGACTTGGGAGGGGGCCCACAACCCAGAGCTAGCTGTGAGCAAAGCAGACGTCCCGGAGAACAAACACAGTCTGGGCACGCACGCCATGGACCCGAGGGGCACACTTGGAGTCCGTTTCTCCTTTGCTCAAGTTCTGCCTTCTGAAGACCCTTGGGTGGGAGAAAACCAATACCATTCTCACCTCTCAGGAGACGGAGGCTGGGAACATCACCCACTGCCACGTGGATGTCATGGCCAAGAAGGTGTCGAGGAAAGGGAGGAAGAGGGTAGCAGAGGGAGTTAGCGGCATCCAAAATTTCCATCCAAACTTAGAAGCTCCCAGTTACATTAGCTGTAAATTGTATTAAATGTTAAAGTGACCCCATCTTGGTGGACCCTGATTTTTATAATGCCCGACTGGTATGGTGGATTGCAAAAACGGCCACAGTTATCCTTCTCTGTATCCTCACTTCTCACGATGTGACACTTTGCAGTATTTTCCTCACCCTCTGAATCTGAACTATGAACCGGCCTTGGAACTCGCCTTGTTCAATAGGATGTAGTAGAAGTGATGGTCTATCAGTTCCCCAGTCTAGGCTTTAGGAGAGCTACTGTGTTTGAGTCTCTCTCAGGATACCTGCCCCCACCGTGAGAAGAAGCATGGGCCAGCATGCTGCAGGATGGGCGCCCACCTGGATCAGAGGGAGTCAGCCCAGTTGTCTCAGCTGAGACTCAGGCAGGTGAGGATGCTCGGTGAAGATCAGCAAAACCAACTTGTAGCCAACCACGGCCACACAAGAGAACCTCGCTAAGACCAGAACAACCGCCTGGCTGAGCCCAGCCTAAACTGCCAACTTGCAGGATTGTGAGCTAAATAAAGGCTGCTGTTGTAAGTCACTCAGTTTTGGTGTGGTTTGTTATGCAGTATAGCTTGCTGTGTAATTGGTCTTCATTCACCAGGACGCCTGGGTTCCCAGCACCGTGTTGCACTAGGAGGCCATGGTCACATTGTGGACATGGCCATTGTCCCTTACCTTGTAGGTTGGGAGAAGAAAGGCCATGCTCATGTAATAATGAAGAATATCCAAGGGGATGTGATCACTCAGTCAACCAACAAACATTTTATTGAGCTCCTGCTCTGTGTCATGCATAGTGCTGGGCAGTAGGGATTCAGAGACTTAAAGAAAACAAGCAAATGAGATCAGGTCTAAGTATCCTGGGGGAGAACATTAGGAGCCATAGCAGCTATTAGAAGTTCAAGTTCAGACACTTAAAATCTGGATTGAGTAACGCTGTCACTGGCGTGGAGACAGGGAAGCCAGAAGTGGGCAGTCTGCCGAGGGCCTGGGGACCAGGGCTCCTCTGCTCTGCCTCAGTTCACAGGGTCACAGTCATGTGGTAAATTCTGCCCACTTGTCCTGTCCTCATGTGCTGTAGTCATAGCAACTGCAGAAGGGAAGCTTAAAGTTTGTGGGCATCAGAGAGGGTCTTAAAGCTCTGTGAGGGGAGTGGTTGCAGAAAGGGCAGGTATGGAAGCAGGGCCAGGCCCAGCCAGGCACCACTCTCCTTGGGGGTTCCTGACCCACAGCAGAGTCCGGGTTAGGACTGCAGGTGCCTGGCCGTCTGCCACAGAGAAGGAAGAGGGGCTGGGATGAGCACGGGCTCAGCATGGAGGACCCAGGTTCTGGTGAGAGATCCAGGCCGTCTTCCACTCCCTGGGCCTTGGCTCCGATCTGTGAAATAGAGGAAATGGGCCTCAATGGTGTCCAAGGCCCACTGGGTCACTGCCCTGACTCTGAGGAGCAAGGTGGGACTGCAGAGGGGTGTCATTGACCCCTACTGGGGAGGCCCACTCTCCAGGGAGGGCAGCCCATCCCCTCAGCCACTACCCACTGAGGCCCTGGGCAAAGGGCGGGGAAGTAAAAAGCATCCATCTCCTAGCTGCTCTCAGACCCAAGGGCAACACAAGTCACCCAGCCATTACAAAATGGGCTGGGAAATGCTGCCATGAGGGGTCGCTCAGGAGCAATGACCACCGTCAGGGAGGGTGGGGCGAGGCTTCCCAGAGGAATGCTGGGGTCTCACATCTTGTCTCCGAGCTGAGCGATGAGGAGGAGCTGGGGCGGCCAAGGGGATGTGCAGAGCCTCCCAGAATGGGGATGGGAGGTAATTCGACGCACACACAGGTGGGCACACCAGCCCCTCTGCCACCTGCCTGTCCCCGTCTCAGCTGGGGGGCCTCCTCCATCTTTGCTCACCCCCCTCACCCAGACCAAAAGCCTACGTGTCAAGTTCTTTATCCTGTACCCACATCCCACCTCTAATCTGTTGGCTCTACCTTCAGATACATCTGGATCCTGTACTGACAAACTATGTGAGTAAAACATACACATTAAAAATATAAAATGAGGGGGACGTCTAGAATTCGACCACTTCTCAAGGCCTTCAGGGCCCTGCCGCAGCCCCTCCTCTTTCCGGGCCTGGTTCCCTCATCACAGTGGAAACCCTTCCGCGGGCTCTTTCTCGTTCATTGCCCTGGGTCGGCAGCAGGACCTCAGAAACAGCCCCAGGTCCCGGACAAACACGGAGGGTCGGAGAGGCAGGCGGGACTGGAGAGGGGACCCGTGTCTTCTGACGTTAAAACCTCCTTTCCTGTCTCCTTTCTCCACGTGAGGGGCCTGACTGGGTGCTCTCCGAGCCTAAGCTCAGGGAGTTAAGAGTTCAAACCCCAGTCCTGCTGCATGATCTCGAGCTTCCCTGGGCCTCAGTTTCCTCCTTGTATAAACGAAGCTACGCATACTCCACCTCATCGGGCTGGCAGGAGGGTTCACGAGACGGCACACACACAGCTCTGAGCACAGTACTTGGCATGCAGTAAGTGCTCACTAAATCCCACTCTGCTCAGGGGGCCCCGGCAGCCTGAGACCCTGGACCATCCACCCTGATGGGGCGTGGGTGTTCTGGCAGGGTTTCGGTGGTGGGGCCGGGCGCCGGTGCCGGTTGTACCAGATACCGCTGCCTCCGGTTACCCAGCTCTGGCTGTCGTCACCCTTGGCGATGTCACTGCTTGTTAGAAAGCCACAGCTGGGGGAGCTGACAGCCAGCACGGCCGTGCCAGCTCTGGGGAGGGAAGCGCCGCCTGTCTGCAGTCAGTCTGTCCTGAGTGTGCGGGAGCAGTGGAGGCCAGGGCTGGGCAGGCTCCAGGTGCCTGGCTGTGGGCTTGGGACAGTAAGTGTCCACAGAACCTCCTTTTCTTTTCTCCCTCCGCCTCTCCCCCTGATTTTCCTGCTAAATCACCATTTGGCTTCTGCCAGGTTTCCATCCGGGGAAGAATGTCCCCAAGAATGTTCTGTCAGCTCATCCTTCCTCCCACCTAGTGCTGTCTGCCAATCAGCCCTGGGACCTTCAGTCCCATATGCCTGCTAAGGGCCCCAGTCCCCAGAGCCGACAGTTTCCATCCTCCAGGCCAGGCCCAGTGCTAGGGACATGCCCACCTATGGCCTCAAACCCAACGATGTGTGCTTCATCATTATCCAGTTTAAAGAAGGGGTGGGGGAGTAAAGTGACACCCCAGGGCCACATGGCTCTTAAGTGGCAGAGCCAAGGGTGCACCCCGTCTGCTCTTTGTGACAGGCGGTGTTGGTGGCGGTGACCAGATGGTGAGGCTGGAAGTGCCCATCCTTTCCCCCTGCAGCGCTGGGCCGTGCCAGTCTGGGCCAGGGTCCCTCGCTTCAGGTCCAGAAGCAGAAGGGCAGAGGTGGGGAGCAGTGCGCCACTGGTGACCTGTCACGACCACTAGGTGCCGCCCAAGGTCTAGAGAAGCATTGCCAGCCCCTCCCAGGTCAATTTGACTGCCCGGGAGGGGCAGTGATGCAGGGAATGGAGAAGAGTGGCCCAGGTCTGGGCAGGGACAGGGACAACGTGACAGCCAACAGAGCCACACAGATGTGAAAGTGTTAAAAACAGGTTTTATTCAAGAACTTTTGTGATGGGGGAAGAGTATGAACTGGGCTCAATTCTGAAAGGAAGGAAGAGTAATGAGGACCTATGACTAAGGAGCAGGGTCAAGGGTGGATGTATAGAAAACTACTAAGAGGCTAGGGAAATTCTTGCTAGACCGACCTAGCAGGATTCTTGCTGAAGGCAGCCCAGGGCGATCAGACGGCACCTGGAGGAAGTGGAGGGTGAGGGATTTGATCAGATACAGAGGGAGGGTGGGATTTCTCACTACACTGACAGAAAGGGGCTGTTGGTGAAACGGGGGGGGGGGGGGAGTGCGCGAAGACAGACACAGAAGCCCAGCGGTGGGGGTTGTTGAGAAGGATCTCAGAGAAGCCGATTAAGGTGTGGCCAAGGAGAGAGTCTTCATCAGGCCCCCTGCTGAACACCATTGAGTTTAAGTCCCTTCCTGTTCGGTCACTTTGTTCAGTAGTGACCTGGTGGAGCCATCTGCCTAGATTGGGTTAGAGGGTGTTTTAAATGAGCGGAATTTCTCCGGAAACAAAAGAAAAACAAAGATCACGGTTGGATAAGACTAGAGCCATTGTCTGAGTGCTGAGGGCAGTCCTTTGAGCTCTCTAGACTGACCTTGAAGCATCTTTCTGGGTGAAGTGAGGTGAGCAGTGGTGCCCCAGCTGACCTCCTGGTTTGCTGTCGGAATGTCCCTGGTGATGGCGCAGCCATCAGTGTCAAGGTCATGGCAGGAAGCCTCCAGCTTCTGCTTTGGGTCTCCTTTAGATGGTCCCAGTAAGGACCTGGGCAGTCGGGATTCTGTTCTCCATGTTGGAAAGACAGGAGGAAAATTGGAAACGCTGGTTTGGAGAACTGTAACCAGATCTTGAAGGACTCTAGACGAATCTACAGAATGCAAAAAATGGCAAGATCCAGTGCGGTTTACAGGTAAATGACAGACTAGAAGGAAAAATGTAGCTTCACTCAGAGGCAAAAAAATTAGCTCAAAGACAATGAATGTGACTCTAATAGCCCAAGAGGGTGCACCATTTATCTTAAAGAGGTAACCCCTCTTTTTGATTAGTGTTCACAAAATAAGTCAGATCTCATTAGGTTATTTACACAGGGGCAGCAATAATGGTAATAGACCACATGGACCTTTTTGAGTTTGTGTAGCTGGAACCTTTCACGAGGAATCTCAGACTAGACTTTTAAAAGCTTCTCAAGGCAGAGAAGCAAAGCCAAGAACTCACCACCAGGTTTCTCTTGCCACACCCACAGATTTGGGTGAAGTCCTCTCCTCTCAAGACTGAGAGATGTCCTATCCCCTGGGTCTGCCAGTTACGGACTTTCCTTACTCGTCTTTATAGGGACCAGGCTGCTGTTTCCTGGAGGCCTTTGTGAGTATCGGCCCCATGAAGTCATCTCCAGTTCTTTACATGGTACTCTGTGCACAGCATTCTCAAATATGATGTTCCGGCTGGACCTTAGTTATGTAACCAGTGTCCCCCATTACGTTATAAGGAAACAGATTCCCGTTGAACTGACGCAAACAACTATGTCATCATGAAAATAGGAATACTCAAGAAGAGTTTCCAAATTCTGGAGGGATCAGGCAGGGAGAAAAGATAAATGTTTCGGTTTTGTTTATGAAAACATACTCTACTAAATTGTCGTGAGTTATAGGTAATTTAAGATAAAAGGGGAAAGGGGTCCTTAAATCCAAAAAAAAAAATCAAACGTTCAAGAATAAGAAATGTTCCTGGCAGTGTTCCAAGTAATCATCCTCCACTGGTTGTGGAATTAATTCTTGTTCTGCTTGATCTTGGGTTCACAGCTGTACGAACCCATTAGCATCTCTATTAGTTCTGGAAATCCTTACTCAGTCCTGTGATGTAATCTCAAAGTTTTCAATGTCTTCAGAAACCTGTCCTTTCCATGGGTCTTGGAAATAGTCCATTTTGATGAAGACTAAGTATTCTGGCTACTTTCAGAAAAGCATCAGAGGAAATAACTACCTGTAAATGACAAAACACTTACACTGTCCACGCTTAAAGATCTGTTGAGACAATGCAGTTGACAAGAAACTGTAGTCATCCCTGTAGAATACAATATATTCAGATAATAACTGGAATCATGACCAGTAACTTTGAAGCAGGACATTTCACGGACAGCAAGTCCATCAACAAAGTTCTGTGAACTTCATACAATTTTAAAAATACTTACGCATATAAACATAACTTAGAGAAGGTGAAATCATCTCTTTTTATTTGATGCCTGTCATGCAATTTAACATGTCAAATAAACTGAATTATTTTTAGCGTCTTTCTTTTTACAAGGCGAGAGAAAAAATCTTTTGAGATTTTCCAGGGCCCTCTGAAAGGGCCAGTTTGAGATCAAGATTTTATTTAAGATTTGATTTGGGAAAAGCAAAACTGTCAAAAGTGTAAAAACAAAAACCAAAATATCCTTGGCTCTTTTAAAAGTGAGAATTCTGGGCTCTCTTTAAAAGTCGGTGACGCGGTGAATATAAGCGCAGATGAAACTTAGAATCTCCTGTTTCCCAGGCAGTTCACTCAAAAGGTAAAGCAAAATCCTTTGCAATCTCTTGTAAAGAGCAGGCCAATAATCCAAGAAAACTTTGCTGTTTTAACAGAGAAAACCAAATCTGCATTTGCATTGATATGCTGTTGGGCTCATTTTTAAAAACCTTATAAATAAATCAGTTCATTCTTAGCCAGCTTGACTGCACATGAATTTTTTCTACAAATTTTTTACAACTTTCTATATTCAGTAAAAGTTATCTTAGTCCTATGTTTTTTTCTTTTTCATTCTGTAACATTTCTTAAACAACTTCTCAATGGTAACTTTAAAACAAAATCATGCACCTTTTCCAAAAAACAAAAATGTATTTTACATTCTTTCCATGCAGAATGTTTTCTTCATTCTCATTCTTAGCATGTTTGTTTACATGTATCTAATAGAATTTTTAACCCTTAGTAACCTTATTTTCCAGGGGAAACAAGGAAATTGCCAAAGAGCAACATTCTACAGTAAATCAGCAGATTTTATAAATACACCATCTCACAATTTCTAAAAACATATGCTTCCTCTAGTACAGCTTTTTATGCTTATGAAGAGACCCAAATATATTTTTCTATCCTTTATAAAAAAGAAACCAAAAGTATATAAGCCTAAACTTGTGCTTAGTAATTAATATTTCAGTAGTTTTTTTAAAAAGATTTTATTTACTTATCTTTAGAGGGGAAGGGAAGGAGAGAGGGAGAGAAATATCAATGTATGGTTGCCTCTCATGCGTCCCCTGCTGGGAACTGGCCTGCAACCCAGGCATATACCCTGACTGGGAATCGAACCACGATTTTTTGCTTCGCAGGCCCGCACTCAGTCCCCTGAGCTACACCAGCCAGGGCATGTTCAGTCGTTTTTCATCTTAGAAATGATCTAGCAGGGTGGACAGAGGGATGACGCAGTAGAGGTTGGAAGGGGCTCCTATCAACAGATTCCTGGGAACCGGTGACCAAAGGTTAGCAGGAGACGGGGAAGGGGGAGTGCTTACAGGATCCAGTTCCTGGAGGGTTCCAGCCTCCCCAGAAGTCAGTGAAGTTCCTAAGTCAGCAGGGGTTTGAGAAGCAGGGTTTCAGGTGACAGAGAAGTTCATTTGGGGGGAGCAGAATCAAGTAGAGAAAATAGAGACACTTCCCAAAGAGCCAGGAAACATTTTCAGCCTAGAAAGCCAGGGAGTGAATCCCTACTCAAAAGAAAGAGAGCCAGGAAGAAGGACTCCTGGCCCAGCGGGCACTTGGCAGACAAAGCAGTGAGGAACTCTAATCCGGCTTCAGAGAGCACACTCAGAACCGCGGGGATCAAAGCCCGTCTCCCCGAGATTCAGCCCACAGGAATCCACGGTGCTGGCTAGGGAGTCGGACCCCAGTCCGTCAGACAGAGGCTTCAGAGGCACACACTTGGGGTCCTGGGTGAGAGGTCCGGGCTCCGATGATGAACCGGACATCTGAGTCATGACACCATGACCATCAGAAAGCCAGATGCTGGACAGTAGTTTAATTGGTAGAAACAGATTTTATTCAAGACTATTGCAACAGGGGCCAGTATAGAACGGGGCTCAATTCTTAATACGGCAATTACAGATCCTTATTTTTCTTAAGTGGGGATTTATAGCTGAGAGGAGCAGAGAGTTGGTTGCTAAACTGACCTAGTAGGATTCTTGCTGAAGGCAGGCTGGGGCGGTCAGATATTGCCTGGGGGGCGGGTGGATGTGGAATCTGGTCAGATACTGAGGATGGCCAGGGACTTTCACTACCGTTACCTGGCAGGGTTCTTGCTAAAACTGGTGATGCCGAGGTGGGCCTGGAAACCCAACAGTTGATCAGAGGTCTCAACCTCTGCGGAGCCCAACTCAAGTTCAGTCAAGGAGGGCCTCTGTCAGCGGCAGCCCCCAGAGCAACATGAAGCAAGCGCAGCCCCTCGCTCAGGCCTGAGCTCTGCAGACCTCACTAACTTGGGAGGAGCCCTAGGGAAGGAGAGACCCTCCAGAGCACAGGAGCAAGGAGCCCCTTCCTCAGGAAACATGGCCCTTGCTCCTCCTCTCCCCCTTCAGGGACTTCAGACACCCCACCCAGCGCCACACGCCTGGTCTAGACCTCTGACCCGCACCTTGTCTCGCCTCTCTCCCACCTTCTCTCCACACTCCCTCCTCCCCCGGCTGCTCCCTCCCTACTGCCTTCCTGAATCTTCCCCACAGCTTCCCCCCTGGGCCTTCGTGTCCCTGTTCACCCAGGCGGGTCCCAGCCTTCGGCCCTTCTTCGCCCGGGTCTAAGGCCTTTCCACCCACTGGCCCAGCTGCTGCCTGAGGGGAGGCGCAGGGAAAGGGGCCGAGGGCTGGGCCCTGTCTTCTCCTGTGTTTGTCAGGGACCCAGGGGTCTGAGTCCTTTCTCTCAGACCTTGTCTTCCACACTCAGAAGTGACCCCAACTAGCCACACGTTCCCTGCCAAGTTCAGGACCAACAGCATGGCACAGCCATGCCCAGGGCTGGACTGGAGGAGCTGGGTGGCCACGGCCAGGGCCCAGGCCTTCTTGAATCCTCTGGGGGCCAGCCTTGCTGGAGGGCTGCAGGGAGGAGGTGGCAGCACAGCCCACAGGCTCTGGATCCATCCCCACCTCTACGGACTGCATGCATCTGGTTCTCAGAGCAGGAACTGCCGCCCTTTTCTCTGTCAGAGCCCGGAGGATGCTAGGGCAGTGCAGGGGGTGCTGCGGAGGTGGGCCCACAGGGTGCAGGGGGTGCTGAGGGAGTGGAGCGGCAGGGTGCAGGGGGTGCCCGGGAGGTGGGGTTGTAGGGTGCAGGGGGTGCCCGGGAGGTGGGGCTGCAGGGTGCAGAGGGTGCCAAGGAAGTGGGGCTGCAGGGTGCAGGGGGTGCCGAGGAGACAGGGTGCCCCCTGGGCTGCTCGTAGATGCTGCAGTTGGGGGTGGTGCCCTGGCAGTAGATATTGAGGTAGTTGCGATGCTTCTCGTTGTACTTATGCCTCTGGAAGCACAGAGCCACGCTCTTGTCACACTCACAGGTCTGCCTGTCGCAGTCCGTCTGGTTGAGGTCTCCTATGGGGAGGGGAGTGCATGTGCTCTGAGGGTCCCGCAGTCCGAGGGCTGGCCTCCCCAGGAGCACCAGTGGGCCCACCCCAGGCCTGCGGGCCGTGAATCTCTGGGCCGGGCCAGCCCCTGTAGCTCTGCTGTGTGCTAGACCCGGAGACCCACTCAAGTCCAACACTGTTGACAAACCGAGGCCCAGAAGGAGATAGGGTTTCCCTCAGTCACCCAGCAAGCCCAAGGCAGAGCTGGGACGGGAGCTCAGGTGTCAGGAACTCCCCACCGCCAGGCCCGTTACTTTCTACCACCCTGAGCCCCCTTTCTCCAGCCACAGAACCACAGAACACCCACCCTGGCAGGGGTCGGTGGCAAGGATCCAGTGAGGAAAACACTTATAAAGAGCTTAGCTTAGTGCCTCCCACGGAGCAAACGCTCAGCGTGTGGCATCTGCTGCTGCTGTTGTCGCCTCGCGCACATTGGCCTCCAGAAATCATGGATCCCAACAGTTCCCAGCCTTAGCTGTGCATTAGGATCAGCTGAGAGGCCTGTTAACCAGACAGCCCAACCCCACTCCTGGAGCTTCAGACTCAGTAGGTCAGGGTGGGGCCTGATCATCTGCATTTCACCCAGTGCCTGGGTGGTGCTGAGGCCGCGGTTGGGGGGTGAACACCCCTTGAGAACCACCCACTAGCCAGTGGTTTGCAAATACTCCAACCAAATGAAAGTCTTCGCAGAGGCTAATATAGCAATTGCTGAAAGAGGAGCTTCCTAGGCTGTAATAACAAGAGCAGCTGGACCACTCAGGGGCCATCCCCCTCCCCCACCAGCCCCTCTCACAGCAGCTGCCTCCTGCCCCCAGGAATCCCAGAAGCCATTGCAGAAACCATTGCTTGGGCTTTAATGGAGGGACACCCCCTCTCTCAAGCCAGCCCCTCCACCCCACGTTTGAACAGCCACAGAGCCCTGGGCTCCCAAGGGCCCCAGATGGGCCCAGTTTCCCCCAGACTCTTTCCCAGACAACAGGAGACTTGAGTTTCTTTGCAAAGCTGGGGGTGCTGTTAGTGAGGGACAAGGAGCAAAGCACGGTTAAGACAGAAGACAGAGGAGGCCTCGAGCTGCCCACAGCACTGGATCAGGGGCAACTGCTGCCCCAGGCAGGGGCATGAAGGGGAGGCAGGGTGGGGACACCTGGGCCATCAGCCTGGATGCCACGCCCCTCGCTGGGGAAAAGCCTTTGGACCTGGTGGAGGTCCAATGCAAAGGCAGGAACTCCACCAGGCCTGGCTCCAACAGCTCGAATTTGGGAAAAACTGAGGGTCCTGGGATGGGGCCACCTTCTTATGGGGTCCCGGTGACAGAACTGGAAGGGAACCGGTTTGCTCTGGTCCACATTCCTTCCTGTACCCACGGGGAGGCTGCAGCCGGGTAGGGAAGGGCCCTGCCCAGGGCTCCTCGGTGAGGAGGTGCTGGCAGAACCAGGCTAACCCACTTCCCCCAAGTCCCAGGCCGGTGTCACAAAGCCTCGCAGCCTCCTGAGGACCTGGTTGAAAGCAGAGATTCCTGGCCCCACCCTGGCCCAGTGCATCAGAATCGCTCTCTGCCAGGGACCGGTTCAGGCTTGGAGATGGGAACATACCAGGGACACGTGCCAGAGCCACAGTGAGGGTTGTTAGGTTTACCAAACAAACAAAAACAAGAGGCCTGGTTCATCTGAATTTCAGACAAATATGCTTAGTGTAAGCACACCCCAAATATTGCATGGGACATACTTATAATTCTTAGTTCTATGCTAACACTAATTGATTTTATGTTAACATTTAAGTTTAGTATGGTTAGAACCCATGCAACATTTAGGACACACTTATGTGTACACATGTTCCGTAGTTGATCTGAAATTCAGATGTCACTGACATCCTGTATTGCATCTGGCAGGCCCGCATAGGGCCCCCGACCCACCAGCCCCTCTCACGACCCAGGCCGTGGGCAGGCGTGGGGGAGGGACTCACTGCAGACAATCGTGGTGTTATCCTCGATGGTGTATTGATAGTGGTCCACGTAGGTGTGGCAGCCCTGGTCGAAGAGCTTCTGGTAGCAGCAGTCATGGGCGTGGCAGCACCTGGGGCAGGCAGAGGAGAGCAGGCCTGCAGAGCCAGGCTTGGCCCATCTCCCACGCTCAGAAACCCCGGTCAGCTATCTGCTCTGTCTCCTCACTGGTCAGACCTTCAGACTGAGGCCCAGAGAGGGGTAGTTCCTTGCCTGAGGTCACACGCCAGGCAGAGCTGGCTGGCACCCTTGGTTCTTGTCTGCAATTCTGCCTCTTTGTCCTGTGCCCAGGGCTTCCGCATTCCCCTTTGGAGCCCTGGCTACGACTGTGGGAAGGGTCAGGTGGTCCAGCCACGTGGTCAGGGTGGGAGGGAGGGCTAGGGTTACAGACTGACTGTGTGTGCAGCGACCATACCTGGCTGCTCCTGACGGCCAGGAAAGACAAGGGTCTGAAGGGCTGAGTTGGGGGTGGGGGTGGAGGACAGGAGGCACATGTGCTGTGGCTGTTCCTGTCCCCTCTGGTGGAGGGAAAACAATTAGCCAATGTGTATTTATTTAGCTCCCGGTGATACCGGACTTGGCGCTGGCCTCCTTGGGGGAGAGAGGGGCAGAAGATAAGCCAGGACCTCTGGGAAGCCCTGTCTGATGGAGGAAGTTTCCACGACCCTGTCCTCCAGACCCTCTAGGCTGAGGGGCAGGGGCCACAGCCCTCGCCTCTGTCTGGCGGGAGCCGTATGACTGCTGCTCTCGTGGGTTTGGGGCAAGTCAAAGGTTCCTTCCTGGCAAGGGTGGGAGCTCAGCTGCCTCCAAGCCCAAGACCTGGGAGATGGACAATAGAGATCGTCCGAGATAGTTGGAGAGGACACGGGTCACAGGTCAGACTCATCGTCACCAACTCATCAAACAAGCCTCACGCCTTGGGGAAAGGGCCTCTCCCATCTCTCAAAGACGCGAATCAGTCTGACCTGCTCTGCACCCACCCGGTTCTGACAGCAGCCTAGGCCTGCTGGAACCTACCAGTCCACTTCGTCCATGGGCTGGCCGCCACCCCCCAGCCCGCAGTAGCAGCCGTAGCCCACGAAGGACAGGATGGCACTTTTCCCGGTGATGGCTTCCACCATGGACTTCAGGTTGAACAGGCTGCTGTGCGCTGCAGGCAAGACTGCGAGAGAGCCAAGGGGATGCTGTGAGCAGCCTGCCCTGTGGGACAGCTGCCCCCCCACACCCAGGGCCAGGGGACTGGGGGCCAGTAGGCGGGCAGAGCAGGAGGAAGGGAGCAACGCACAAAAGCACTGAGTGTGGTGCATTGCCCACCTTCTTACATTGACCCCTACGGCCCTGAGGAAACAATAGTTACTATCGTGCCGAGGACTTCTCTGTGCCAGGTGCTGTCCTCGGCTCTTTCCTGGGCATTAACTCATCGAGAGCTCTCTGCAGTCCTATGGGGGGCTACTGTGGTGTAGCTGTCTCATTTTTCAGATGAGGACACTGAGGTCCAGAGCACTTAGCGCTTGGAAAAGCAGTGGAATCAGAATTGGAACCCAGGCAGTGAGAGCCCAAGGCTCAATTGTCCTGTGAAACTGTAAGGAGCTTGGCACGTGGCCGGGCTTTTCTGGATACCAGGGCCCTCCTGGCTTGGCCTGGCTCCTGTGCCTGCTGCAGGGGCTGGTGTATCTCAGGATAAATCCAGAGACAGCTGGTGCCCTGGTCATTCAGGAGTGACACACACATGCTCACACACACACACACACACACACACACACACACACACTCCTTTCTCTCTGTCAAAGTCGCACAGGAGGCAATAGTGCAATGACCCTTCCAGTACCAGCAAAATCAGCTTCCCGGCATCTGGCAGCCAGCCTGCCTACCCCTCCCAGCTGCCCTGCCTGCTGGGCTCCAGCCTTGTGCTGGCTCCGCATTTCCTCCTGGCTCACCCCAGAGTCAGCACCAAGCCCACTGCTTAGGTCCTCACCTGGGTGCGGCTGCCCCCTTCCCCACGTGGGCAGGAGAGCTGCTCTATCCCCATTTTACCGATGAGCAAACCCAGCCTCGGAACAGTGCGGGTCATACAGCCTAGAAGTGGTGGAGCCCAGATATGACCCCAGGCTTTTGTGTCCCGGAGCTGTGATGCCACCACCAATAAGGGCAACTCCTGCCTGCCTTCTCCACCCTGGCTCCTCCAGCTGGGCCCAGGGTTGGGTGCCCAATTCCGCACCCTGCCCCTATGCTCTCCACATTCCCCACCCTGCTGTACCGCCTGATATAGGAAATGTGCCAGGAGAAGGAGGAGTCAAGAGTTTCAGAAACTGGATGTTGGATAGGGTCCCAAAGGCCATACTTCCTTCCTCCTTGAAATGTGGTTGTCTCACGTCGCTAGTGACGGGGAACTCACCACCTCAACGTGCCTTAGTTAGCCAATCAGACAGACTGAGGCCCATAGCTACAGCTCCCTGGGGCTCCATGTTCCCATCTGTAGAATGGGAACAATAGTACTGACCACCTGGAATCCCTGGGGCCTGCGTGTGCCAGACCACCAAACACTCACTCCCCCAACGGCACCTGCCAGATCCTGGCTAAACTTGCCCTCCCCCTCAGAGAACTGATGTTGGGAATCCTGCTCCGCCTGGGTCTCCCTGTGTATTGGCTCTGTGATTTTTGTCATTAGACAGGTGACTTTAAGAGAATGGCTAGGAGTCAATGTCTACCCTGGCGCCCGGGGCAGGGAGACAGAGGGACCCTGTGTCCTGTGGGCCCGAGCCGCACAGGGATTTGGTGGAGGTGGCTGCTGCTTTTAGCCAGGAGAGGTACCTGGGGACATTAGTTCTCCCTCCCCCTTTCCACCTCCTTTCTGCTGGCTTCTTGGTGCAGGAGAAAAATGTGTGTGCAGAGCAGCTTCGGAGTCAGACGGGCTGGGTTTGCAAACAGGTTTCTCCATTAACACTGTGAGACTCTGGGCAGGTTGCATAACTCTTCGACCTCAATTCCTAAATCTGACGACAGCTGATGACAACATTCTCCTGCAGGGCACCCTGCGCAGAGACCCGTGAGGTCCTGGCCTCCTACCCCCACCAACCCTGTAGTCGTTAACCCCCGTGGGGGTTGGGGGAGGGGCATCTTTCATCCCCAGGGCGCACCATGTAAGAGAAGAAGAGCGAGAAACTCACCTGCCCACACCAAATGTGGGTACAAACACAGACATAAACACACCCACCTCATCCTCTCCTTCACATCCTGCACACTTATACACACACCGACATGCAGACACACCCATGTGTACTTCATGCACACGTCTCACACACAGATGCACCCTCTCATTGTTGCTAACACTCATATGCAGGGTCGCCCGTAAACACCTCACACACTCGGGCACAACTTATACACCTCACACTCATACACACACTCACACATAACAGATACACCCCTAGGCAGCACCCAGAGTGGAATCCGTGGCCAAGGCCACGTCCGCACTCACACTCCACGTGGAAGACATGAAGTCTTCCCTCGGGCAGGCTGCAGGCTCTGACCCTGGCCAGGGGTTTAGGCTGAACTGAAGTGCCTATTTTCTAAATGACAGGTTACTTTGCCTGAATGCAGCCAGCAGTTTCTCTTGTCCAGCCTTATTTTGTCTCTGGCGTTTCTCGTCCTCAGAGCAGGCTGTGTCCAGGAGATGGGTAACGGGCTGGATGGAAAGCCAGCGACAGGCTCAGTCCTTTGTCCCCCAACCTCAGGCACCTGCCACCGGAACACCTGGATGTGGGGGGCGTCGATTTGTGTCAGAGGCCTCAGCTGTCCCCGATCCATACACCCAGGGTCACCACCCTGGGTAAGAAGTCCCCAGGCCAGTCACATCGTCCTTGTATAAGCTCACGCAGACACCTCTGCTCCGCACACACCACGTACAGATATACACACCCCTGTGTTCATACATACCCTCTGGACACACACAGCTCAATGCATGCACACTCACACGTTTTACTGATATGTGCTCTGCGCAGGGTCATCACACACACAGACTGTGTATTCCCACGCACACTATCAGCTTGTCCACACATACACAAGTGCACAAACAAACACACACTCCTATGTACACAAACGCCTAGGTTTGACAGGGTGCCCAGACGCCCAGCACACACCACCACTTTACGATGCTTGCTCAGCTCTGGGCCCTGCCTCTTGAGGCTTGTAAATGCCAACTGCTCGTGGCGTGTTTACAGGTGGTGGAGAAATTAACAGCCCCAGAGAGAGGGTGAAGCCTGACAGGGGCTGAGTGGGGCATTGGAGGCCAAGAGAGACGCAGGACAGGCCCAAGGTCTTGCTGCTGGTCAGCGGATGGAGAACTAAGAAGCCCGATGTCAAGGGAGAGAGTGTGGGGTTGGGGAGAAGGAGGCATCTCCCCGGAGCCTTTACTCACTGCTGCCGGCCAGGATGGTGATGGTGAAGAGCTTCATAGCCAGGCTAGACCTGGGAGAGGAAGAAAACCAGGATCCTGAGCGGGGCCATGCCACCTCCCTGCAATTCCAGGCCCTCGACTCCCTCCTGGGCCTCATTATCATGACAGGTGGCCTCAGTTCTGTCCCTTGATGACCCGGATGACATTGATTCCCTGGTTCCTGCTGCCCCATCCCTGTGATTACCACCTCCAGGAAGATTCGAGCGCCTCCTACCTGCCCTGGGCCTCCTGCAGGCCCAGCCCCCAGAACGGCAGAGCCAGGAAGCAGCAGCAGGAGCCTTCTCCCCTCCTGCCCTGAGCAGGAATCAGCTTTCAAGACGGGCAGCTCCCTGCCCCGTGGGGGTCAGCCCACTGTTGCAGATCAGAACCAACCCCCTTGCATACTTGCACCAGAAAGTCACACGAGGTCTTGCACCAGGAGCTGAAGCCGAGAGACCGGGAGCCCTGGGTTCTAGTCCCAAGTCTGCTTCTAAAATGCTGTGTGACCTTGGATAGACTTCTTAGCCTCTCTGGGCCTCGGTGGCCTCAAGAGGATTGAGTAGATGATCTATAAGTCCCTTCTAGTGCTGACAGAGTGGTGACATTTCTCAGCCATCACTCAGAGACTCAGAGCTCTCCTTCCCAGAGAAACGGGTTCAAGGAGCCCGTTCCCCGCCTCCATCCCTGCCCCTGTCCTCGGAGAGCTTCATCCCGGGGGCATGGGCACGTACCTGGAGGTCCTCAAAGAAAAAGAGGCCCTGAGATTTGAACCCCTCCATCCAGAAGGGCGTCTAACCAGCACCTTCCTCCTGAAGCCTTTGGGGTTGGCCTGCGCCCCATCTGCCATGTCCTGGGTTCTGGGAGGCCAGCGACATAGGGCTCCAAAGGTCTGCAATCTGCTCCAAAGACTCTGGGGAGTAGGCCCCAGCTTCTCGCTGCCACCTACACTGGCAGGGTAGTGCCAGGGCAGTGCCGCTGGGCAGGAGGCCAGTGACACATGCCCTAGGAAAGGGAGGCTCCGCCCCCTCCCTCCCACCACCACTGCCGCGGCCCCGCCCACAGATGCCACAGCTGGTGAAGTCCCCACCTGGGGGTGCTCTGGCCCACAGAGGGTGCAGGTTTATGCACTGACTGGGAGTTGGCCCCTCCCCACGCCTCTGAAAGAAAGTTAGTCCAAAGTCCTCTCTGCTCCCATCTGAAAAGGACGTTAAAATTATTCAGCGACATTTGCTAAAGGACAGCGGGGCAGACTCTACTCAAGGGGAGCATCGCAATAGGTTTAGGGACAGCTGCAGTGGGGTCCCACCTTGGGGAGGGGAGATTGAACTCAACTCCAAGTACAACAAGGAGAAGTAGGAATTCAGAGCCAAGGAGATGGGGGGATCAGTGGGTGGAAAATACTAAGAGGAACCCTCAGGGGTTAGGGGGATGCTGGCTGAAGGTGGGCCAGGGCGACTGGACGTCACAGGAGAGGTTGGGGGAGGGGGGACCCCATCAGGTAGGTCCTGCAGATGATCAGGTATTGAGGATGGGGATCCTGGCTGAACTAACTTAACAGGGTTCTTCCTGAAACTGGGCAATACAAAGACAGGCACAGAAGCCCAAAGGTCAAGGCCTAGCTGGAGGAGAAACCCACGTGGAATGCGGGGAGGAGAGGATCTCCTTCCGGGTCTCTGTGTGGCTAGGCGCCGTCCGTAAGGGTTCCCTCCACACCCGCAAGCATGTGGGTGCCCACGTCTGGCTCAAACGGCAAGGGCACAGACACATGCCTCTGGCAGGAAGCCCTCCACTCGCACATGGAGGGTGGGCCTGCCTGACCACTGGCATGCGGCCCCACGCCCCTCGAGCTGAGCAAACCCCTGACCTCCCCACTAGATCCAGTAGGAGCCCCCTCCCCACCAAGCCTGACAACCAGTGTCTCCAGATATCACAGATGTGCTTCTGGTTGGGAGCCCAGTGGCCTGGGCGCCGGGGCCACGTGCCTCTTGTCAGGGGTGGCATGTGTGGGGAAAGGACAGTCAGGAGAGAAGCAGAGGGACCTGGAGCTTGGGGAGCCCCTGGAGGCTGGCTCAGTCCCACTGATGGGGCTCTGACCCCAGCACCCCCACAGCGTGGCTCTGAGACCCCAGCCTCTGTGTCCCCAGCTGTAGACTGGCCGTCACCAGGCTTCACTAAGAGAGGACTATGTGGGCAGCTGGCGGTGTCATGCCATGCGGGGACAGGGTAGGTGCTTGGGGAGGGACCCGAGTGCTGCTGGCCAACGCTCCTTCTCCAGTAGTGAGGTGAACTGGGGTGGTGGGGAGGGGAACAAGGTCTGGGGGAGAATTGAAACTCCAAATAATCCCCCGCCTTCACACTGACTCTCCTAATGTCCCCAGAGTCGCTGACAAGAGACTGAAGACACCCCCTGGGCCTTCTCTTCCTACTTGGGGCTCTATGGTACCAACTGGCCAGCAGATGCCACATGTCACTCCCCCCTCTTTCTAGTCCCCGTCCTTCCTCTGCTCAACTTCCTCTCCATGGGTCCAGGCCCTTCTTCTTCCCAGAAGTTCTAGGAAAACCCCTGCATCCAATCACACGTGCCTCCCTGGAAAGGCATTCATCTGCCCTTCCTTATTCCTTTGTAGGCAGGTACATGGCTGTGTTTTGGTGTGTGGATCTTGAAAATTCGCTGAGACTGGGCATCCTGGAAAACAGGACATTATCTCCTCCAAAGCCCAGGGGGTTCCCAGGGGACAGGACCTGCCTGGTCAGACTGGGCGCTCCCTGAGGACTGCGAATGGTGGGAGGAGGAGGCTGGGCTCTGCCTTCACTGGTCTGCACAAAACTTGGTTCAGTTTTCGCTTGGATTTTGCATATGCTTCATAATGACATCACAACAATCCCAAGGAGGAAGAGCTAACAAGGAAGGCCCCAGGATAGTCCACACATGGAAGATACGGTCTCTGACCTATAGGAAACCCAGAGCCACTTAGGTCTGTGCCAAGGAGGCCACAACAGGAGTGGGGGACCCCTGCAGGCCTCCAAACAGCCCCGTTGCCATGTTCTCCTCTGGCATTCCCACTGGCTGTGCTGGTTGGGCTGGTCTGCAGAAGGCAAGCCCCTGAGGTCGGGGGTGGGGCGGGGGTCAGCTCTTTCCTCTCCCCACCCTCCCTCTCCCAAGCACAAAGTGCTCAGCACCAGAAGTCAGTAATAAACTGGTCGACCCGGTCATTCCACTCGGGAACTATAAACTGAAAAGCCAACCTGAGTTATTCCCAGAGACAGTTGAAGACATTATTGACTGGGGTGGTGTTTTATGTGATGCGCCCCCAAATCAAGAGAAACGTCAGCTGGGGTTATTTAAGCAAGAGATTAACCATCCATTCATAATCATGTGTTTAAAAATTTGATGATATAGAACACAAAACCCTGGATCTGAAGGGTAATAGCAATTTTGTAAGAACAAAAAGGAGGGGGGCTTGAAGGGGTTGTTGAGGAACACATGTGTAAAAATTATCTGGAAGGCTCAGCAGCAAAACATTAATAATGGTTATTTTTAGGCAGTGGGATAACTGATGGTTTTGTTTTATTACTTGTAAATTTCTGTATTAAAATGAATCTAAGACATACCAACAACTAAGATGGAATGGTCAGTTTCCATTAAAGACATAAACTCAGTCAACTGGAAACAGCTCTGTATCTATTGAAGAAATTGAATATGTGGTTTAAACCTTCTTATAAATAAACTCCTGGTCCAGATGGCTTCACTGGCAAATTCAACCCAATGGCCAGGGAAGAAATAATACCAACTGAATCAAACTGCTAGGGCTGCCATAACAATATACCGCAGACTGGGTGGCTTAAACAACAGACATTTATTTTCTCACGATTCTGGAGGCTAGAAGTCCAAGATCAAGGTGCTGGCAGGTTTGGCTTCGTTTTGAGGCTTCTCTGCTTGGCTTGCCGGTGGCCACCTTCTCACTGCCCTCATGTGGCCTCTTTCTCTGGGCAGGCACATGCTTCTCGTCTCTTCGTGAGTCCAGATTCTTCTTATAAGGACAGCAGGCAGAGTAGATTAGGGCTCACTCTATAGCTTCTTTTTAACCTGCTCACTTCTTTAAAGCCCTTTCTCCAAATACACGAGCCACTAGGGGCTGGCACTCCAATATATGAATTTCTAGAGGACACAGTTCAGCTTATAACACCCATTTCTTCCAAACTATTTAAGTGGAGAAAGTGCTTCCAAATTCATTCTATAAAGGCATAATGATTCTGATACCCAAGCCAGATAAAGATATTGCAATAAAACTGCAGGCTAATAGCCCTCATGAACATAGATGCAAACATTCTTAATAAAAATGTTATCCCCCCCCAAAAAATCTCATAATACAGGGGTGGGCAGAAGTAGGTTTACAGTTGTAAGTACATGAAACACAGAGTTTATTCTTATTTTAGTATTTACTTATTAACCACTGTATTATTTATTATTATTATTATTAACCTACTTTTGCCCACCCCGTAAAGGAAAAGGAAAATATACCATGACCAAGTTGAGCTGTCCCAGGAATAAAAGGTTGGCTTTATATGAAAAAAATCAATCAATATAATATACCGTATTAATAAACTAAAGAAGAAAGACATGTAATTATTTTATTAAGTGCAAAAGCTCCATTTGACAAAATCTGACATCCATTTCTGATTAAAGAACAAAACAAAATGCCAGCAAACTGAGAGAGAAGGGGACGTCCTCAACTTGAAACAGGGCATCTACCAAAGAACCTGCAGCTAAGTTCATACTTCATAGTAAAGGGCTGATTGCTTTCCCCCTTCAGATTAGCGATAAAATGAAGACATCTACTCTCACTACTCCTATTTAACATTTTATCCAATGCAATAAGGCAAGAAAAGAAATAAAGGGCATTCAGATTAGAAAGGAAGAAGTTAGATCATCTCTACTGACATATACAAACAGTCCATGTAAAATATCCTGTAGAACATTAAAAAAAGCCATTACAATTAATAACTGAGTATAGCAAGGCTGCATGGTATAAGATGAAAATACAAGAAAATTAATTATACTTCCACTTACTAGTGATAAACAACTGGAAATCGAAAAAAATACATTTACAATGATATCAAAAACATGAAATATTTAGGGCCAAATCTGACAAAATGTATGGAAGACTTGTAAAGTGAAAACTATAAAGCAATGCTCAGAGAAATTTAAAAAAAAACTAAGATAAATGCAGGGATGTGCCATGTTCATGAACCAGAAGACTAAATATTGAGATGTTGACTCTCCCTGTTTGCTCTGTAGAGTCAATGCACTCTCAGTTACTAATAGGCTTTTCTTGTAGAAATTCCCAAGTTGATCCTAAAACCATTTGGAAATGAAAAGGATCTAGACTATCAAATCAACTTGAAAAAGAGGAAAAATGATTTATACTACCTGATTTTAAGACCTATAAAATTACTGTAATCAAGACAGTATGGATTGGTGTGAAGACAGGCAAATAGATCAGTGGAATAGAATGCATGAATCAGAATTATATATATATATATATATATATATATATATATATATATATATAGAGAGAGAGAGAGAGAGAGAGAGAGAGAGAGAGAGAGAGATTTTTATTTTGACAAAGGAACAAATGCCATTCCAAGGTGGAGGAATAGTTTTTTCACAGTGGTGCTAGAACAATTGGCTATGAATATAAAAGAAATGAAGAAAAGAGACAAGAAGAAGAAGAGGAGGAGAAGGGAATGGGGAGGGGAGGGGAGGAAGAGGGGGAGAGGAAGAGAGGAGAGGAGAGCAGGGGAGGAAAGGAAGGAAGAAAAGAAAAAAGAATTTTGATCCATACCTGTTACCATACACAGAAATTAATCAGAATGAGTCACACATGATTCAACAAAAGTGCCAAGCCAATTCAATAGGGAAGGAAAT